CCGAGGGATGGAGCGGGCGCAGGCGGCGGCCGACCCTGCCCGCGGGAGCCCTCAGTGAGTACGGAGCGGGCGAGGCGCCGGGCGGGGGCGCTTGGGACGCGGCCTCCCTCGGTCACGGAGCGGGAAGGGTCAGGAGGGCGCACGCCCTCCACGTCCATCTTCACTGCAGCTTTTCCGAGCGAGCGAGGACAGATACAGCGCTCAGGTCACAGACCCGGTCGGCTCCCAGCTGAACAGCCTTCCCGGAAGCCTCTGCCCCAGCACCTCCTTCTTTAAGGTCTGGTGCTGCTCCGCAGTTTATCCCCCAGAAGTTCTATGCTTTAACGGAAACGGCTCACACGCCTTGCTAACGCCCTGTTTTCTGGATTGGTCTGAAGAAGAGAGAACGAGGGGGCTGGGGTGCAAAGAGAAACCTGGTACACTCTAGATGAAGCGGTAGAACAAATGATTTCTCTCCTGATGATAGTCCTTAAACTCCACTGGCTTAAAACTGATGTGACATTCGGGATCGTATGGATATTTTACTTCTAACGGATGAGCATTCCTGAAATGTGTCTGTACTGAGTAGTAATAAACGACTATACAAGGTCGTGGCATTTAAGAACATTTTATGGTGAATCTTTGGTCTGTGTGTGAAGGGAATAAATTGCTGCTAATTTGTAGCTTATACACATACAGATTTTCATACACGAAGTTGACTTCAAGTGGGACACACCTAGATAGAGGATGCTAAGCGGCACTTTCTGAGAGAGTGAATATTAAGACGTGGCATGTGTGTATGCGGGTAACACTTGGATGAATGAAATCCCGTGAGGTCTCTCCTCTTTTGAAACCACTCCGGTCAGCCATGCCACCAAGAGCAGTGTAATGTCGGCAAGTCCTTAACCTCTGTGGGCCGAGGAGTCTACTCTGCAGAATGCTGGGAGTGGGGTCAAGAGATCACTAAATGTTTTGGAAGAGCCCGAGGCTTGGAATGAGAAGCTTTTTAAATTCCAAACGGGGCCTCTCTTGCAGTGTGTGATGTAATTTGTGCCTCAGTTTTTCTATCTGTAAAAGCAAAGATAATGATACCATCTGAACCATGCCGTGTCGGGATTATTTCGGAAAATGTGTTTGAAAGCGCTTGAAAGGCTCTGCCTGGCGCAGAGCAATTGCCCCATTTGCAAGGTCACAACCCCATGTTGTGGTCGAAGCATGGGGAGGGGTGAGGGTGAAAGGCAGCACTTTCCACTGGGGGATCTTGTCCTGCCAGTAGTCTTCTGGAGGCCCCTGGTCTGCAAGGAGGAGCATGTTGGCCGCTAGCGGATTTCTGCGTCTTCCACTGAGGCACCTTGTGCAAAGCAAGAGACCAGGAATTGAGGAATCACTCTAGTTTTTCATTCTCGTCCACATTTGGCATAGGATTAATTGTTTGAAGCCCATCTGTAAATTGGGGATAGGAAAACCAGAACAAGACTAGTTCTAGTCTTGGAAGAGAAAATACAGTAATAACTTATTTGTATTGTTGCATATTTGTGCCTTGCAAAATGTTTTCCCATTATTTACTGGGTACTCCTGCCCTGTCTTCAGGTTACTACCATCATGGACAGGGTGCTTCACCAAAGCACTTGGGGACCCAGCAGGTTGTTAGAGCTACCTAGATGCTGCATCTCAGGATTTTTGTCTTTTTTTCTCCTCCAAAAGGCACAGGTCAGGGAGCAGAACAGTCAGCCCCATGCAGGTGACCTCGGTTGTGGAGAGAAATGAGTCTGAGCCACAACTGGATAATGGACCCTTCTCAAGACCCTGGCCTTTTCCTACCCCCCAGCCGCCCAGGCTCCATGGACCGTCTGCCTTGGAGTCCAAGGTGAGGGCTTTGAAGGAGAAGATGACAGCGGATAAACAAGGAGTGAGCCCCACCACCCATGAGCAATCATCCCCCAAGAAATCCAAATGCCGACGAGTCAGGCCTGGGAGAGTGCGGATATCAGAAGGCTCTTCCCTGTCAGATGCTGTGGTGGTGCCCTATGCTCAGAACCTGACTGGTGAGCAGCTGGACAGCAGTGTCAACAAGGAAGAGCCCACTCACAATGGGGCCTCCAGGCCTTCCAGACTCTATGCCCCTGAGCTTGGCTGCTGGAATGGGCAGGGCCCACTGCCTCCAGAAGCGGTATGGGTGTTGCTGGAGCGTGAGAGGTGTCTGCCACCAGGACCTGACTCCTTGCCAGAGAGCCCTATCCACAGAATTACTCCGGGCTGGCCAGCGGGGCCTGGTCCTTATAAAGTCACCTGCAAGCCCGGCCTGAAGAAAGGAAGGCCAGACCCCCTTCAAGATGGTCTGGTCACAGCGGGAGACTTGGACAGCACATCTCTGATGCCTGAGGAGGCCTTTGTCCCAAGGACAGGCCTGCAGGGGGCGCTCTGGAAAGCTAGAGACCTGGGGGCTCCGGGCACGGGGAGCAATGCCCTGTCCTTGTCTGACCAAGTAGAGAAGAACCGCCTCCTGCTGCAGGAGATGCTAAAGGTTTCAGGACAGAGTCCCTCCAAGGTGGCACCTCCAGCCTGGAACAGAACTGCACCAGGTGAGACTCACTCCATAGTTCTCAGTGGGGCAACCAGAGGGAGTCCAGTGGGAGGGACGGGGAAGGGGATACCATTGGGGAAGCACTGGAAAGGGAGGAGCACACAGTTGCCTGTCACCAAAATTATCAGAGCGTACTCTTATTCTTGACTCTGACACAGGTTCTTTACCACCTTACAAGCATCCCTGCTTGGTGAGGACCTCTGAATCAATGGGAGGCCGCCATCTGTGCTTGGGAGGAGAGGCTGCCATGACCTCTTCCCTGTGCCTTGCAGCCTTCCCAGAGTGGCTCTTTGCATTCCCTCCAGTGACGTGGCCTCACACCTACTGGCCTCACTGCCCTCTGGTAGGCAAGCAGTCGGGAGTCCTTCCCTGCAGAAAGGCTGCAAGTCTGGTCCACCCTTCCTCCCTCTGCTGAGAGGTGCAAGAGCTCAGACCCGAGAGGACAGCCTGCTTTCATAAGCTCATTCAGCATCCCCTACCTAAGGGTATGGAGGGTCCTCTATGCTCACAGCCATGCTCACCTTTAGTGACCGTGACAGGCTGTGCCTCTACTTCTCAGGCCAAGATACAGGCACGGTGTTAAATTTATCTGGGGTATAACTTACTGGAAACCTCTTTCCTCAATGTTCATTAAGTGGGAGCTGAGAGCCCAGGTTCGGGCTTTTGTTTTGATCTTTGCTTCTGTTCTGGGCCCTAGAACGACCAGCAGGAGATGTGGGCTGGGAATCAGGCATCTTCCTTCAGGACTCAGAGCAGAACAGGTAAGGACTCAGAACTCACGTTTTCTTTCCCTCCTTCCTCGCCATCTGTCTTAGTTACTTTTCTTATTGCTGAGACAAATACCTGACACCCAAAGCTAAAGGATGACAGATTTATTTAGCTCACAGTTTGTAGAGGTTTCAGTCCATAATTGGCTGGCCCCAAGGCAGGGTGGCACAGCAGACTGGCGTGACAGAGGAGAAACAGTTCATGGTGGGCAGAAGGTAACAAAGCAACTAGGGATGACCACAGCTCTTTCTATTCCTTATATCTTACCTAGGCTACTCAAAAGGGCAGGTGGCACTCACACCTTTTATCCTAGTGCCTTTGATTCTAGCAGTGCACCGTGAATCAATCCCAGAGTCACACATTCTAGTCCAACCCCTCTGCAAAAGCCCCACCTATGACTGCATGCGGCTTTGGGGGGACAGCTAGACACAAGCCATAACACCAGCATCCCTCCATTTACTCCACATCAAGACAGTAGAAGACCTTGAAAAGGCCAGAGGGTAAGCAAAGCCCTGCACCCATGGATAGTGGCCACTGTGGATCATCATCCCTGAGACCCTGGAGAAATTGTCTGTCGCCTACAGTGCTCAGGCTGCTGCCCACCTGCTACCTGAGCAAAGCCACAGGGGACAGAGGTGTATAAAGAACATTGCAAACTACCTGCTCTGAGCTGGGGGCCATTTCCCCTGCCTGGCCCTCTGATTCTATGTCTTTAAAGTGGAGAAAATTATATCTGGTTACTTTCAGGATTATGGTAAGGCTAAAATGATACAGATGGATGTGGAAGTCCTTAGAGAAAGTACAAGAATGCGCAGCTTTTACTCCACCTGTTCTTTTTCTAATCAAGAGAGTATGCTGGGGTCAAGTCAGGAATTCTACCTCCAACCTCATCATGATACCCACAGGGTTTTTCTGTTCTCCACCCTTGTTGTGGGGAAGCTGGATCGCCTGGGTTGTCGTGGGGGAGTGGGGATGCCTGTCCTTAATAGGCAGTGTTAGAACTTGGCAGGCTGAGAAAAGTATGCCAAAGGTGTGGCAGGGCCACCTGCAGCCCTTAGCCGCTGCCTGCAGAGGTTGGCATCCGCCTTTGTCTTTGCTGGTGTTATGGTTTGTGTTTGGGTGTCCCCCCAAAGCCTCATGCGGTCATGGGGCAGGCTTTTAGGGTTTGATTGTTTATGGGTGTGAGAGCTGCACCCACCCTGGGGTGGATAGTTTGCATATGTAAGGGAGACGAAGAGGGTGCTTGAAGCCATTCCTCCTCCATTCCTCCCTGGTGTGTGCTTGCTGCTTTTGCTGTGTTCTGCTGCCATGAGTTGCAGCCCTCTGGCCATGTGCCACTCTGCCTTATAACCTGCCAAGTACGGACTGAAACCTCCACAAACTGTAAGCAAAATAAACCTTTCCTTCCTTCATTTTGGGTGTCAGGTATTTTGTCCCAGCAACGAGAGAAAAGTAACCAAGATAGCTGGGCTTTCTGCATCTGAGGCTGAGAGAGGCCCAGGGCTCGGGACTGGGAGCAGCTCCTGCGTCCCCAGTTGCACAGTGACTTATCCTAATCCCTGCAGAGGGCAGAGGGCAGCACTGTCGCTTCTCCACGATCAGGGCTGTTCCCTGCATAAATTCCACTTCGTTTGACTTGCCCTCCAGAAAGTGTGGGCAGGGCCTCTCTCTTAGTCTCTTTAAGCTGCTGTCACAAAGTACTGGGTGACTTCTAAACAACAAAAAGGTACTTCTCACAGTTCTGGAGACTGCAAGTCCAAGGTCAAGCAGCAACAGATTTGGAATCTGATGAGGGCTCCTTTCCTGGTTCCTAGTAGCACTTTCTCCTTGTGTCCGTATGTGGTAGAAGAGGACTAGGACGCTCTCTGGGATCCTTCTAATAAGGACGCTCATCACCTCCCAAGGCCCCACTTCCTAATACCATCACACTGGGGGTTGGGTTTCAATCTCTGAGTTTGGCAAGGACATAAACATTCACAAGCAACCCTTTGGAACAAAGCGAGGTGTCCAGTGTCAGGAGATTCGGCTTGGGTTGGGCTAAGGGTCTGGCTGGGACAAGGAAGTTTGGCTCTTCATCGCTTGTTATTTGTGATTGGTCCCTTCTGCCTCCACGGCCCCTTTCTTAGTCTCTTGTCACACCTTTGTTTGGTCCTTCCAGTATGGGAGATGTGGCTGTAGGAGGGCTGTGGTCCCCAGGGACACCCTGCCCCTTCTTCCCTCCTTTTGCCTTCTCTCCACTTCCTTCACTCTGGTGCCTTGGAGGAGAAAGCTTAGTAGTTGCGCCTGTATCCTGCAGAGTTGGTACCTCCTTCCCGCCTTCTCTTCTGGATGGGAAAAATGCCCCACAGGAAGGTGTGGCCACTGGGATTCTGCTCAGAAGTCACTGTTGAAATGTGAATCCAAAGCTCCTGACTTGCATGCTGGGTAGTAATAAAAACCACTCATTTTGTTTCATTATTATTATTGGTGTTTTGAGACAAGGTCTCACTATGTACTTCAGGCTGGCTTTGAACTCAGTATGTAGCATAGGCTGACCTTGAACCAGTGGCAGTCCTCCTGCCTCAGCCTCCTAAGTGCTGGAACCACAGGCGTGCACTACCACACCTGGCAAAATCACTTATTATAAAGGAAGAGAACTTTAGCCAGAGATAGCAAGGAGCTTTCCTCGTCTCTGTAAAGAGATTAGCATAGGTGTAGGATCCTTAGAAGTGGGATTTCTGGACTTTTAACTTGCCAGGCCATCTGCAGCTCTGTTCTGCATTTTAGAGTTCAGGGCGGGGTGTGTGCATGTCATATTGTATGATTTGTCATGTGTATATACACATGTTAGGAATGTGGGGGTAAGGTCTTGCTGAATTTTAGACCCTATTCTAAGACTAACAAAATGTCCCCTTTGAATGCTGAGCAGATGAGGACCCCAAGATGGCATGAGGCTCAGGTCCCTGCTAGACATCCAGGCTGAAGGCCCAGGGAGCATGGCTAGATTCAAGGAAGGAGAAGTGTGAGCTATGTCATGGTGCCCCCTCAGATAAGCCCCTTGTCTGGCTTTGTTCCTGAGTCTCCTAGGCAGACATTAAAGTGTCCTGAAGACACTGTAGGCTTTACCTGTCCCCTAAGTAGAGTGGATTTGTTGATTCCAAAGTTTTCAGAAAGCTTTGAAGCAAGGTGTGCTTAACCCCTGCCCCCATCCCCCAGGGTGCAGGTCCTGATCTCAGTGTCCATACTAAGGAGTGTGGGACCCTTTCCGAGGCTGTGGCCATCTGTCAGGACATGCTCTGGAGGGCAAAGGGCAGAGCTCATTCAGGAGCAAGTAAGCCCCTCAGAACTCAGAGTCTGAGGGGTGTATGGCTCTGCTCACGTTCAGTCAGGCTTGGCATCTGTGTAGGTCTTTATTGTAATCAAATAAACATTATGAGCAAATAACTGTCAGGTACTTGTTATTGCTCAGCAAGGTAATATGAAGCTCATGAAATGACGCTGACTGCAAAGCCCAAGCCAGTACTAGGGGTTAGGGGTCTGGCCCCTTTAGGGGCAGGCCAGTCCCAGGGAGTCAGCCACGGAGGGAAGCTGCCCTCTGAGGATCCAAGACCTTGAGTGCTGGGGGTCAGATGCAGAGATTTCCATCCTCCGACTCCAGGGTTGTCCCTCTCTACTACGGAGCAGAAGATGGCCCAGTCCTAGCAGACCAGAAGATCCCAATGGCGAGGCAAAGGGCCAGGCCAGCAGCAGCTGTTGTACAGTGCTGAGCTAAGTGCTTTTCCTGAATTCTCATTTTATTTAATAACAAACTTTATGTGTTCTTCCTGGTCTGCTGACAGAGGCGTCTCTTGGGGGAGCTCAAGTGACTAGCCCCGGGCTTGGAGCCAGGATTCCTACCCAGGGCCACCTGCTCCAAGCTGCGCTCTGACCATTGTGCTACACTGCCACAATGTCACAGAGACTCGCATGTGAGCTGCCCACCTTGTCCAGGGATCAGTGTGATACGGATGGAATTGCCCATTTTTGTTCTCACTACTCACTGCCCTCCCTGGCCATCGGCACAGTTGTTACTGGCATCTCTCTCCTGGAGCTGCCAGGGGCAGGAACTCTGCTGAGAAAATGCCTGGCAGAGGCAGGCGGGGGGGAGTGCGTGAGGGCTCACCGAGGGCTGCAGCCTGTGCAAACTTGTGAGGGTCCGGATGGAAACCGGAAAGGACATTCCAGGTGGGTGAGGCCTGCCGAAATGCCTGGGAGAGTCTGAAGTGGAGTCCGTGCATGATCTTATCGGAAGATAGGGCGGAAGGTGGGCTGGAGCCACTTACGTAGGACCCTGGAATTTAGATTTTAATCTGAATGTAGAGACATTTAATGGTCTTTGCCCGCAACAGTGGGATGACCTTACCTCCTGGGAGTGTGGGCTGGCGCAGGGCTAGTTAGTGTGAGGGAGTCCGGTGAGGGCTATAACCATTCTGGGCCGTGGTCAGGTTCTGCGTCTTTTGTGCTCCTGATATCAGGACGTATGATGAGTCCTGGGGGTGAGCTTGGGAGAAGAGGTACTTCTGCCCCAGCCCAGGACTTTCAGGCCATAGAGGTAACAGAGGTCCCCCGAGAGCAGGGGGACCATTAAGTTGCTGAGGCCTGGAGGTCCTGCTTAGCCCTCACCCCCACCTCGCATCCTGCCCCACAGACGCAAAGCAGATCCCATTACCACGCCTAGCACCACTGGGACTAAAGCCAAAAACAAATTAAACATAACCTTCCAGGGGTGTTTCCAAACGGGCACCTGCTCCCCTAGTGTCTAACGCTGAGGCCCTACACAGAGCTCGTGCCACCTGGACACTCAGGTGCATTGTGCCAGGCCACGCCCTTGCCAGACTCACACGCAGAGCTCATCTCGGCCCTGGGCCAGTCTTCACCAGTGAGGGAGCTGGAGAAAGTTACCTTGCCTAAGCCTGTTCACCCACTGGGGAGCTGGGCTGAAATTCACAGAAAGGAAGTCCTCCTCCCTGGCCCCTAGAGCTGAGCAGGTCACTGTCCCCTATCAGGGGCTATCTTAGATACCTGCTGCCACTTACAGCTACCTGTGTCCCACACCTGAGCCTAGGCAGCGCTGACCAGAGGGGGCGTCCCCAGCCTCCTGCGCTCAGCAAGGAATTTATTGGTCTTCCGGAAGCCAGGATAGAACTGCTCTGCTTGCCACAGTACCCAGATCCCATTAAACGTGTCAAGCGTTGTGGATGCTACCAGCAGCCCTTCTTAAGACTCCCAGTCTGCCTTCTCTATTGAGAGAAGGGCCTGCTTACCATCTGGGATTAGCTTCCTGCTGCTACCCACCAGCCTCCTCCTGTTACTTGTCCTGTGGAAATCCCCCTCACCAGGGAGCCCTGTCAAAGGCTTTTGAAAAGTGCAGAGCAAAGCCATCAACCCCTCCCTAGCTGTAGACATTTATCACTTCCAAACATGCCTCCCCCTTACAGATAATAGGGCAATCTCTTCGGCACGTGAGTTTAGTTCACCTTCAGGGACCCCTTCCTTCTCTTAGTGAGGGGTGAAAGTAATTTAACAAAACAAAGATACTAATAATAAAAGTAGTGATATTAATAAATACTAGCATTTACAGAATCTTGCAAAGTGCCTAGCTCTGTGCTAAGTCCTTTGAAGGAAGTCAGTCTCACTGGTATCACAGTTAGCAGGCGAAGAAACTGAGGCTGACCTCCTAAATCACCTGACAAGGAAGTGACCGCCCAGGGATTAGAACTTGGACAGGTTGCCCCTGAAGCACAGTCTTAACCAGCACTCGGATTTGTCCTGTTAGTGGCCCGAGACCTGGGAAGAAGGCATCTGTGTAACCATGAGGGTGAGTACAAGACAAAGGCCCTGCTGGAGTGGGCGTGCAGTTCAGACCCCCCTCGCAGCATGTAGTTTCTCTTCCCTCATTTGGGAAACTGCACACAGTGTGAGAGCTCTGTCCTTGGTCATCTGAAAGCTTTAAAATATACAACAATGGAAACCAGGTATACTGGTGCATACCTGTAATACCAGCACTGTGGGAAGCTCGGGAGGGTGACAAGTTCAAGTCCCACCTGGGTGACTTAGTGAGACCCAGTCTTAAATAAAAGGGCTGAGAATGTAGCTCAGTGTGAAGGCCCTAGGTTCAATCCCATACTGGCAAAACACAATGAAAAAAACAAAAATGGAGCCCATGCTAAGCAAAAAGATTGGTATATTTTCTGTGTACTACCTATGAGATACAGTAGAAAACTATGATGTTTAAATTTTCAAAAGATTATTACAGAAAGATACACAGTGTCATTCATCTCCCTCGAGACGCCCTCATTTGCTGTGAACACACTTAGCCTGTCATGCTTGCCTCTTTCTGACGCAGGTCTGGAAGTCCTCTTTCCTGACTATCTTTAGCTGTGTTGTTGTGGCTGCCTTGACATCCCCAAACAATTCAAATCACAGCATTTACCTCTCATGGTCATTTTGACTTTGGGGCAGAGCCATAAGTCACACAGTACCAGGTCCTATGAACAAAGCAGATGAGACACCTCGTAATGTTTTTATGAGCCTGCCTGTCTTTTGGGTTGCACTTGTAGTAGCGTTCACTCTATTTTTTTATCACACCTCATAAAGACATTCACAGAAGTAGACTTGCAGAATTGCTTTGGAAGGTGACAGGAACAATGAGGTAAGTGTATTTAAAAGGGGGGGAATATTTTGAGGGAGGATAATGACAATGCATCTTTAACTGCAATATATTTCTAAAATTTAAACATTCACCCTATATTTCACTCACACCTCATATTTTCTCTGTACTGGTTGCATCCTGAAACCTGGGGAGTTAGCTCTCTTATATTCGCTCTTGTTTCCTGAGTACTTGAGATGAAAGGTTTAAATCCAGACTTGCTAGAGTTTATCCACCTAATCCAGGCTTACGTGGCTGTAGAAAAAGGCCATTCTGTCCCCTTGACCTCCCTGGCTGGGAGAGAAACGGTGGTTCTCCTGACCTTCCTGGCTGTGAGGGGCGGTGAAGTCCCTCCTCCAGGAAGCTGGTCTAGAAGGAGAGACCAGAGCGGGAGGGGACATAGCCTGCTGCTGCCCTTTGTCCTTGGGACGCTGCAGACTGGAGATGCCAAGGGAAGGACCCACTCCAGTGGAACTTTACTGTTCTCTAACATCAGCCCCTGTGGGCTCTGCTGCTCCTTGGAGGCCAAACTTCTGAGTGTAGACTCCTCAAGGAAAGGCCGTCTGAGACGCCCACAATAGGTGACATAGCTACAGACCTGGACTCACAGGGCAGAAATGGCTTTGCTTGTAGAGAGGTGAATTGAGCCCCAGGGAGGCAAAGCACCCAGCCACCTTATTCCTGTGCCCCGCCTGCTGAGGCAGTGAGCTTCAGAGCACAGGTTTCAGGACGGTGGCAAAAGTCTTTCACTCTTAGGTAGGAATGGCCCTTACCTGGCCCTGTACTGACAGCCAGGTTTCCAGGGGAATTCTAGGAGCTGGGATGTGGGGTGTCTGCCACGAGGGTCAGATTAGACTAGAAAGTCTTCCTCAGATGGTGGAGTCTGAACCTGTCTTCCTGGAGGCGTTGAGCGTCCCTTCATGTGATGATGGGAGGCACACTGTTCTGTGCCTCTCCGGAGGGAGACCACCTTCCCTCCCCAGCTCGGATCTGGGCATCCCTTCTCCAGCGTGTGCAATGCCTGGGCCGCCTGCACTGCTGACCTTGGCTGCAATCTGTGAAGGTGGCTGCTACTCTCCTCCCTACTAGAATGTTACCGCATGGATGCCTCCAGGCGCCTAAAAAGCCTGCTTTTCTAATCAGCGGAGAAACTACCTTTGTCTGCCAGAAACTGAAGCAGGGCAGCTGATGGAAAAAGAAAAAAGAAAGAGGGAGAAAAAAAAAAAAAAAAACAGCAACAGCTCCAAAAGGAAACAGCAAAGCTGGAAAATAACTTTAAAAACCTGGGGGCAAGGCTGATCCTGGCAGCATCTGGCCAGCTGCCTAGGGGCCCTGCTGCCTGCCCACCAGGCCTTGTGACAAATGCCCTCCGACAGCCGGGGAACCACAGCTGTCACCGGAAGGCTCCAAGTGTGCGGGCTGGCAGCCAGAGGCCTGCGGCTGCAGGGGCACCTCTCCGGGCTGGTAACCTCATTATCTCTGCTGTCGGAGCAGGAGCCCCGGGGAGCACAGCTGCTCTCAGCCTCATGTTGGAGGAGCTGCCTGCTCTGGAAGCTGTGCGGGGGAGGCCTCTCCTGCCAAAGGAGGCCTTCTGGGGCAGTGGGCCTGGAGATTCACTTTCACCACTCCAGTGAAGCCCTTCTTCCAAACCTGGCCTGAGCCCTGCCAGGGTTCTTAGGCACAGATGGTGCCTTTATGCTAGCAGTCTTTTCCTCTCTGGCCCGAGTAGGATTAGAGGAAAATAATGAGAAGAAAAGAAAAAGAAAATCATAGTCTCCCCAGAGCTTGCCTGATCATGTCCTTGAGAAGCCCTTTCCCTGGAGCCCTCATAGTTGTGCCTTTGTCCACTCATGTCTGTCACAGAGGTCTGAGATCCAGGTCTGAGCTTCTGGTTGCCTGCATTTTTCTTTCTGTGGAGGATACACAGCGTGTATGTGTCCTCACCTCCCTGTGAGGACACCGAAGTTACATCAAACAGTGTATATGACCTCAGCCACAAATGCCCTCCACTTGCTGTAGGTCCCAGGGAGGGGAGAGGACAGGGTCCGGCAGTGATGCCGGAGCCAGTGGGGCTGGCTGTCGTCTGCTCCGCTCTGTTCTGCTCTGCTTTTAATTGATGTTTGACCTTGAGCGAGGTGCCGGCACTCCTCTGCACTGGACACCCTCATCTGTCAAGTAGAGAGCGCGCCTGCCCTTGGGCAGCCTGGCTGGGGAGAGAGAGCGCCACAGAGAAGCGGGGGTGCTTGTGGGCTGCTGTTACTGCTGTAACCCGGCACGGGCAGTGTGTCCGTCTGGAGACAGCTTGGGAAGGCAGCGTCTGTCATTTCCGCAGCTCTGACTAGCTGGGTCCGCAGCACATCTGGTGGGTGAAGTGGCTGCTAGAAGACCCTTATTATTATGAAAATTGAGCCATTTGCCCACTTGGTTTGGGTCCAGCTTGATTTCTCTCATCACTGAGTCTGTGAACCCTGAGCTGATGTCTGACAGGTTTGGACTAGGACTAAGGCAAGAAGACACCAGGATTTGTAAAAATGTCCTCACCCCAAAGGACAGAACCAGGAGGAGCAGCACCCTGATGCCACGTGCGCTCGGGGCGGCGCTGAGCGTGCTGAGTGGGTGTGTGTGGGGGCGGTGGGTGCCGAGAGACAGAAGGAGACAGGGCGGTGATGCGTGGAAAGACCATCTGTCTGGGCACAGGCCCAGCCCCACAACCTCAGGCCCTTTTCCTCCTCCTCCCCCAGATGACTCGTGCTGTCTGGCCCAGGGAAGAAACAATAGAATAATCTGGAGACTTCCCTGCCCTCTTCTAGATCCTCCTGGGGTCTCTGCCTCTAGTCCCTGAGCAGATGTCCAAGGTCAGGCCAGCCCCAAGCCCTGCGTGGAGCTGCTCAGGGCTTCCCGCCGTGTGGGAGCTGGAGGGGAAGGCTGACCGCAAGGGCTTTTCCTGGCAGAGCTGCCACTCGGCACTGTTAAAGCCCTCCTAATCCATGTTATTTTCTTCTAATCCCTCCCCCACCCGCCCTGGCCCGTGTGCCACCCTGCAGGACCTTTGGTCCCAAGCCGGAGGCCATGCTGAGCACCAGCAACGAGGATGCCAAACATCTGCTGCAGCGTGCCCGCGTGAAAGCCAGGACCCGGCCCCTCCGTGCCAGCCATGATATTGTGCCCGCCATCACTCAGGGCAGCCGGTAAGTGGGGCCCGAGCCAGGCTGGTCTAGGAAGGAAAGGGTCAGCTGTAAGAAGAGATGGGAGCTAGCCAAAAATGCCACTCCTCCCTCCTTCTTTCTGTGTGTTTTCTTTGTCAGGCTCTTACTATGATTGTTCAGTCAATCAATATCCCTTTATGAGGGCTTAGCGAGTGTCACAAACTGAGATAAAAAAATGAGTGAAACGTGATCAGAGGTCCCTGTAGACATGGAGAGCACAGTCTGCAGGGAGAAAGACGGTCAAACAGGCTCTCAGTTCTGTGGACTATGGTGTAAGAGAGAAAAATATGCATTCGGAGCTGGAAGCCTATATCACATGGAAAGACAGGCGAGGCTGTCCAGAGAAGATGACTTCCGCTGAGGCTTGCAAGAGACACGGATGTTCTCTGGGCAGATGAGAGGCAAGGGATGGGAGCCATGAGTGAAGCACTGTGCAGCTGGGCTGGCGTGGGAAGCGTTGTGGGACTCGTGCGCAGAGGCTGGAGAGCTCAGGAGAGGGCGCTTGGGGAGGGCCTGTGATGGGTAGGAGCCACCAAGGGACTTGAAGCAGGTGAGTTCCACTGTGGCATTTGCATTCCAGCAGCACCATCCTGGCCGCAGAGATTGTGTTGAATCCAGGAGACAGGCACGGAGAGGAGGCTGCTGCCTTGAGCCTGGTGGGAGGTACAGGATATGGAGACTTCAGATGAGCACCAGGAAGCTGACGCAAACCAGTTAATGAGGCAGCAGAGAGTGATAACCTGCAACCAGACCACACAGATTTGCATTCTGGCTCTGCTACTCTGTGTGCCTTTGCGGAGTTCTGTGTGCGTCAGTTTCCTTATCCTCAAGACAGGAGTGAGCGTAGCGCCTGTCTTCCAGGGCTGTGGTGAGCGTTGTGTGAGCTGACTTACAGAAGGTGTTTGGAGCAGCGTCTGGCACGCGATGAGTGCCGTGGGTCTGTTAGCTCAAGCTGTCCATCATTCAATTACCTGGATGTGGGAGGCAGGAGAATAGGGGACACCCAGGACAGAACCCAGGGTTTTGGCTGGGTGTTGGGGGGCCCCTAGCTAAGGGGCAACACCTAGGCATGGGGTCAGACTTGGAAGGGAGGTGCCCTAGAACATCCCCTGGAGACATCCATTAGGGAGTTGGATACAGGATCTTTAGAGCAGAGATTTGGGAATATCTCTGATGTCATGACCCTGGAGCAGTGAAGGTGAGCTCATGGGGAAGAAGAGATGGAAAAAGAACAGGGCCGGGGCTTTCAGAGACCAGCGCATCACACACGTGATTGTCCCTGAGTGATACATCCCGCCCCCATCACTGTACTGTTTTGTACATGGCACGCCTTAAAGAGCCACATACACGTGGAGTTCTCCGGCACAGAGCTGGCCTCTGTGGTGCTCCTGGACGTGACATGAGGCTGCTGGGGGCCCTGCCAGATCTTACCAGGCCCGAGTAGAGCCACCTCCGCAGATGACAAGGCCTGTGACTTTACTGGCATGGGGGGAGCACACTGAATCTGCGCGTCTCCATCTCCACTTGGCACTGGGGCAAGTAAGGACTCATTAAAACTGGACCACATGCTCTCGGGATGCTGAGGCCACCAGTGAAGGTTAAGGACCTTCATGGAACCACTGATGATTCCATCGTGAGCAGAGGCCCTGTGTTCAGTGTCATTGTGCCCCTTAGGAGACCCGAAACCCTGATAAGAGGTGCCCAGCACGCTACACTTTTACTTTCACATTTTGTGCCTTATCTCTCCCTCTGGCAGAGGGCACTCATTAGGAATGGCATGGCTTCTGTGAGGGATGCTAACTGTTGTTCATATATAGATGAGGAGAAGCCTTAGACTTCCAAGAAATTTTGTCCCACCTTGGGGAGCCACAAAATAGGCAAGCCTGACTGCAGAACAATTCATTGTGCACATACCCTCTTGGATACTTCTCCAGGTCGCCCCTCCACCTCACAACAACCCCCACCTCTATTGTAAAGTAGGTTCCTTTTTCCTGGCCATAGAAATGCTATAAAAATGCAAGGTGACCCACTTTAGCAGCTGCTGTGTCCAGAAAAGAATTACTATGCCTTGGCAGTGCTGGTGAATCCTCGGAGGGCATAGCTGAAAAATCCATGCCAGATGGCTTGCTGCAGCTGCTTCTAAAGGTTACGCTCCATCAGATCACCCTGGAGGGCTGGGCAGAGTTAATACAGCGATGCCACATGGGCCCCAGGCCTTAGCTAGATACAGGAACCACCAGGCTGGATGTTTCACTCCCTCCAAAGAGCAGCTTGCCAAGAGACGATGGAAGGGGAGGGGCAGACAGAACAGTGTCTAGAAAGCGTGTGTGTATGTGTGTATGTGTGTGTGTGTGTTTGTGTTGTGTGTGTGATACTAGGGACTGAACCCATGACCTTTTCACTACATCCCCAGCCCTTTTTTCATATTTTATTTTGAGATAACTTTTGCTAAGTGTCTAAGTGGCCCAAGTTGCTAAATTGTTCAGCCTGTGCTTGAATTTTCCATCGTCCTTACTTGGCCTCCCAGAGTATGTACGAGGATTTTAAGCACGCACCACCACACCTGTCTTGGACACCAGCTTTGTGGCAGGCACTGGGGATGCCAAGCCGAGGAAAACATGGCCCCAGTCCTGCTCTCTGAGAAGCATGCCGGAAGTAGAAGCTTCTTTAACTCGGGTCTGGCTATGGGCAGTCTGGGGAGCCTGAACATACAGGCCTTTTCCAGGAGGTGAAGAGGTAGAGGTAACTGCATTTGCTGGAAGCAAATCAATGTAGATATTGAGCAGCTCCTGAAGAAAAATCTCTTGGGATTTTGAGGATTGGCAACTTGGTGTTCTTACTCCCAAGAGGGCAGGACAGGTCAGCAAGACGCACGCTGGAAGGTGACTCTAGTGGCATCCTGTGTAAGGCGGTGGCCTCGTGAGACTGTATGACTTGCGCACATCACACTGATTGTGTGGTTAGGACAACGCTGTCATAGAAAGTGAGGCCCCAGGGAGGGGTCCTCACAAAGGCCACGCAGCTCCAGAGCTAGAACAGAAGCCTGGCCTCAGACCAGAATGCTTTCCTTGAGGACGGTTTCCGAGGCCTCTGCCGGGCCTCGAGAAGCTTGACAGCCGTGGGGTTTGCTCGCTGCTTGGCTGCCTCATGTGCTCTGCTCTTGGCTCCAAAGTCCTTGCCCTCGCCCCGCTTTTCACGCTGTTGCTAACACTGCCGGGGGGCGGGGCTCTGAGTTTAATAATTAGGTTGATGTCACTGTATGTGATTAGCTTGTCCTTCAGTTCTCCTTTTAGAACAAAATGTTGTTTCTCCCTTTACAGTTAATTCTGGGATGGCTCAGTTCACCATCTTGTATGTAAAGATTAAGGCCATTGTGGCTTATGGGCTCTGATCCCCTTTTAGGTTAGGGCCGTATGGCTTTGAAAACTGAGTTTTCTTTTTTGTTAACAGAATTTGTAGCTCACGTCTGTCCAGCAGAGCAGGGCATTGGCCAGGCCTTTGGAGAAGTGGGCTTTAAACTGTGTGCAGAATCTCTAGTGGGTCTTGCCTATGTGGGCTGGACCTGGCTGGCAAGGGTGTCCTGCTTGTGCATGGAGAGCAGCGCCTCTGCTTTGGTTTCCAAGGGGTGGGGATGCTACCTCTGAAAGTCCCTCCCGGCTCTAACGTCTCTGAGTCTAAAGGCAAATGAATGGTGCAGGTGTTCACGGAGGCTTTCGCTCACTGCTGTGTGGCAGTAGTCAGGGTTCTCCAGAGAAACACAAGCACTAACATGTGCACATGAAGGAACTCACTCCTGCACTTTTGGGGGCTTGGTAAATCCAGAGTCTGCAGAGTAGGCTGCAGGCAGGAGACCCAGGAAAGAGCAGCAGGTGAGTCGCAAGGTGGTCTTTGCTGGCAGAATTCCTTCTTGCTCCGGGGAGGTCCGTCTAATCTCTTAAAGCCTTCAACTGATAGCGTGAGACCCACCCACATAAAGCAGAATGATCTGCTTTATTCAAAGTCCATCATCTTAACCTTCCCTAAAAACAGTCTTCACAGAAACTTCCACATTTAATCAAGTTCTGGATACTCCACATTGGTCAAGTTGACTCATAAAACTAACTATCACACATGGTATCTATATAATAGGTGGATTTTAATAAGTAGGAATCGAATCCAGGCAGGTGAAGGAAGATTCCAGGAATGATGGCAGGAGGGTGCATGAGGTGGACAAGGCAGGCAGGCTGGAAGCCCTCCTGGTGGTGGTGGGGGACAGAACTGAAGAGGAAAGAAGGGAGGGTTGTGAAGGACCTGTCTTTTCATCTCAAAGACCATCACCTTGTCCTGTCCCCTCTCTGGGGTGTGTGATGAAAGCTGGTGGATGGAGTGGCTCGATAAGAGGTCATTGCAGGATGAATGGTAAAGACATGGTAAATGAGAGAAACAAAGGGAACCCTCAAACACTTAGCAGTAGAGGGGTGGGGAGGTGGGTAGAGGGAAAGGCTTGGAGAAGTACGGGCTTTATTTAGGTGGCTTCTGATAGGAAATAGCCTATGGGTCAGGGCCCGTGTGCATTATGACCCAAAACTCAGGCTACCTGGCTCCAGGGACTCTAGTGTGAGAATTGTGTATGGTAGTGGGTAGCTTCTGAAGCCGAGCAGGACTTGAGCTAATGATACACGTGAAGACTCTGCCCAGCTTAGCAGTGTCATCACAGCAGGAGCAGGATGTGTGTATGTGAGTCAGGCCAGACTGGGAGTGTTGGAACAGTTGAGACCCAGAGTCCAAGGGGGAACATCAGTATCTCTGTGTCCAAGCAAGATGATTAGGAACACTGAGTGGAAACTGTGGGTTAGGAATGCTTAGAATGCTGGGTGCGGTGCAAGATTGAGGCCAGCCGGGGCAACTTAGCTAGATGCTTTCTCAAAGTAAAAAAGGGCTGAGAATGTAGCTAAGCATAATGTAGTTAATTCCCCATAACACACACACACACACACACACACACACACACACACACACACACACTGCTCAGAATTCTCAGCAAGTCCCTATGGAAACTTAACATACCCACTTCCCATGAGGGCTTTATATTGCACACAGTTGTCCCTCAGTATCTCTGACTCCAAAATACTTGAATCTTCAAACCCCTTATATAAGAATGGTGTAGCATTTGCATATAACCTAGGCACATTCCCCTGTACATACTACCCTGTCGAGGTTACTTATCATACCTAATACAATGCACATGCTGTGTAATAGTTGCTATGTTGCATTGCTTAGGGGATAATAGCAAGAATAAAAAGTCTATACATTTAGTACAGCACACACATACATGGTAAATATAAAATTGTTATCTTTCTTCTCTACCATCCTGAGTTCAATAAGTCCGGCTGAGTCAGGCAGCCAAGGGAAAGCCAAAAATAAAGGTCATGTTGGTTTTATTTAGCACGGTGTGCCAGGATCTGGATGGGCTGGTATTCTGCTGTGTTTGCCGCGGGTCTCCCCAGGTACCTGACTTGAGGCAGCCTTATAGGTTGTACCTCCCAGGAGCACCAGGGGATGTGGTGTTTTCTCTCTGTGACCTCTCTCCTGTCTTCATTAGAGCTGGCCGGAGAAGTCCAGCTCCAGGCCCCAGGATGACCTCCACCTGTGGAGAAAGCCTCCAGAGCGGCAGCCTGAGCGACTCCTCCAGCGGGGAGTCCAGCAGTGGGCAGTGGCCTAAGCAGGGCATGTCCCCATCGCACGTCCGCTTTGAGGATGAATCTGCTTGTGAAGCTGAGTTCCGCCACCTGGAGCGGCTGCAGCAGCGCCAGCGCCAGCGCCAGGTGCTGAGCACGGTGCTGCAGGCCGTGGGCCAGGGCCCTTTGCACTCCAAGCCAGATCTCGCAGACTACGTGAACCGGGAAGTGGGGATGGGCGCGTTCCACAGGCCAGGGGACAGCGTGGACAGCAGGGCCCACCCTCTGCCACCGCCCCACTGGGCCAGCAAGAAGAAGTGCCAAGCCTGTGGCAGCTGCCCTGAGAGTCAGCGCCTGGACCCAGCTGTCCTCGAGGAGCTCCAGGCTGCCTATGGGGTGAAGGGCGTGCTGCCAGGGTCCCACAGTTCCCATGGCCTGAGCTCCCCATGCTGGCTCCTCCCTGCTGAGCCAAGGCTCCACACAGAAAGGATCCGGGAAACACATATTGGGGAGCCCACCACGTGCCCTGAGGAGGGAGACTGTGCCCTGGACAGTACGGACACCTCAGACAGCTGCCTGGCTGACAGTGAGGAGGCCGGGACCGCTCTGCCCAGCAGAGCAGGCAGGCGGACCCAAGGCAGCAGCCCCGGAGAGTGGGACTTCAGGCCTCAAGGAAGCCTCCGGTGGTCCAGGCAGGCCAAGATGGAGCTGCTCTGCGGCCTTCAGGCCTGGCGTCACCTAGGGGTAGATGGCATGGAGGTGGGAGATGAAGTAAAAGAAGCTGCAGGACACAGGCCTATGGAGTCTCCGTTTCTGAAAGAAGATGCTGTCTCTCAGCCTCCTCCCTTGGAACCCGAGATGGCTTCGCTGGGGTCCCAGAGGCAGCCTGGACCAGAGCTGGGACGTCCCCGGGCTCACCCTGTGGACTCCCGTGCTCCATGCAAGCCAGCCTATGCAACACCATTGTCCATGCAGCTAGCACCTTCAGCGCCAGGCAGACCAGAAAACCATGAGTATCTGGAAACAGTCTGCACTTCCTCCTTGAAACAAAATCACCCACAACCCGCTGCCCCAGACCCAACCCAGCAGCCGGCCACTGCCTCCTCCCCTGAAGGCCTGGTACCGACGAGGACCACCTCCCCTGCGCCTCACAGAAAGGCAGGGCTGGCTGGACCCTGCAGGTCAGGGGAACAGGAAGAACCTGTGGGAATCCCTCTGCCACTGTCTCCTCCAAGGACCGTGGTTCTCAGGACCTGTGGGCTCAGTCCATCACAGAGCCAGCCCTGCATCCCCCAAGTCAGACACCCACCGCTGGGCCCGTCTGCCAACAGCTGCAACAGCGGCATTCCTCTGGGGCAGCAGGAGCCCTGGCAAACAGCTGCCCACAGGGGCAGCGAAGAGAGGGAGCCTTGCAGCCAGGAGCTGGATCCACCCTTGGAAAGTGTCAGAGATGGTAAGGCTTGCATGGACTCTGCTCAGCCCCGGATCAGGTTTATGATGCTCGAGGCGTTCTGTCTTCACTCATGTGTCATCTTAATGGCCAGATGACATAGACACACACCACGCCCAGCAGCCCTGTGGGGAAGGAGGTGGAGATGCCCCCTATGGTACTGGGAACCCCTAGGCGTGAATAAACACAGGTACAGAGCTCAGGCTGTGGCCTGAGCCCTCCTAACCGCTGCCCTGCTGGACTGGCTGGGAGGTTTCACAGGCAAGCCTGCTGAAGCGGGTGGGATATCGCCTCTTTATCCTGGGTGTTGGTAGACCCAGGTTTCAGCCCCCAACACTGAGGTCCCAGGTGACCAAATAGACTGCTCACCCCTGGGCAGGGATGATGGGTCCAGCTTATGCAATCTTGATTTGATACTCTACGGCTCTGATAGCCTTGGAACTGGGGTCCAGGGCTTGGAACCACGTGGAGACAAGGGCAGAGAGGTGACAAAAATGACCTTGTGAGGGTACCGATGCCAAGATCCCCATCTCTGGTGTTCCCGTCACTGTCCCTCTCCCTGCCTTGCTCAAAAAATCCTGGGGGACCGTCCTGGCCTGAGGTGACTCTCACCCTGCTCAGCTGTGGTTCTTCCTCTCTGGGAGGCTTAGGCTCAGGGCTGGCTTGCCCCTAACTGCTCCCTGCAGGGCTTCTGTCCTGAGACCTGGTGACTTCTGGACAGACCAGGCCTGCTTTTCCTCGAAGCCTGCAGCAGGGGGTGAGGCTCCTCTCATTAGCTTCGAGGCCCTGGGCAAGTGGCTTACTTCCCCAGTGCTCCATCCCCTCCTCTGTAAAGTGAGTGTGGAAGGAAACCTGCCTTGAGAAAACCATGCTTGTCGGGGCAGTTAACGCATGGCCTAGCATGTGCGTATGCACCCAAAATTGTGTTATTGTCAAAGCTATGAGAAAGTAAGATTGTGTTTCTGTCCCAGGAATATAAAATATTCCCCTCCTCTACTATGATGTAGAAGGGGACTTGAATTATCACAAACAACCCTATCATTTCAGAGAAATGTACTAACTATTTATTAGGTACAAGGGCCCGTGCTGGGCGATGGGGATGCAGCAGTCCCCTCAGATGGTTTCCAGTCCAGAAGACACGCAGGGAGGGGCCCGGAGTCGCAGTCACCTGCTGCTTCCTGCATCTCTCCATTGCCTCCTGGGCCCCGCCTCCCTCCTGCGTCCCTCACTCTCTTGCTTCTGAGCCCGGGAGTGTCCCTACCCCCACTGTGACAGGACGACCAGTCTGACCCGGGAGGGCTGCTCTGACTGTTTCAGGAGGATGCCAGGGCTCTGTCGACTTAGCAGATGCTGCCACCTTCAGCTCCATGGGCATCACCCTCTCGCTGGCCTCAGAGGAGCCAGAGTCCTGCCAGGAACCCAGGGGAGGTCTGCAGAGGACAGAGTCCAGTTCTGGGGGGCCCGTGCTGTCTGGGTGAGTGACAGGAGCAAGAATCTTCACCACAGGAGGAGGTGCTGGGTGAGGACAACAGTAGCACAACTGAGCTTGCTGCTTCCATTCGGGGGGCTCAGAGAGTGTGTCTGAGCCAGGCCCCCAATGCTTCCTTCCCAGTTCTTTGATGTACCTGCTTATCCACTCCGTGAACACCCCTGTGCTGGGCGTAGGCACAGCTGTCAGGGTCCTGCTCTCAGGGTGCCCCCAGGGGACTTGTGTGTCTGGGAGAACTTCCTCCTGAGCCCGGGCTTGGGAACGTCCAGATGCCGAGGAAATTGAGCCCGGCATTCATATTTCCCTTCTCTCCTTCAGCTGAGACCTTGCCCTAAGGAGCTCCTTGGGCTGACCTCAAAGCCTTGCTGAGCCCAGAGCCTTGTCTTCCCTGCTCCACATCCTATGCCCAGGGCCACACGCAGTCCAAGGCCTCCCCTGCCCCTGGCGCCAGCTCCCCATCTCCAGGCTTATGTGCTGCTCAGTACTACAGGCCAGAGCCCACGGGACACCGCCACCAGGCTGTCTGGTAGCCCCTCGACAAAAAAAAAAAAAAAAAGACTGCATCTCCAGTGTCCCCTCCCCGGCCAGCACGTGCCATCCACATAGTGCACAAGCCCCGAGGCTGCTCCTCGTCCCACTCTGACCCACCCGCGAGTTCTTGCCAGCGCCAGCCCCCTCCTCGCCATTATTCCGGTCTAAGCCGCACTCCTTCTCTGCTATACCACCCTGACACACACACACACCCCGCCCCCGTTTGCTGTCTCCCTTCACTCCTGTCCCCTTTTCCACACACAAGCCAAGGCTAACTTGAAAACTCTAATTAAACGGTGTCGTTCTCCTACTTAAAATCCTGCAGTGGTTTTTCCCTGCAGTGGAGCAGAATTGAAGCCCCTCACCACGGGGCCATCACATCTTCCCGTATCTGGTCCCTACCTCGGATCTTGTTGCCTGTGCCCAAGCCCTCTGGCCTGGGCTTTGTTCTTTTTTTTTTTTTTTTTTTGGTTTTTCTCCGGTACCGGGAACCGAACTCACGACCTTGCGCTTGCCAGGCAGGCGCTTTGCCGCTGAGCTAAATCCCCAGCCCCTGGGCTTTGTTCTTGAATACACCAAGCCTGCTGCTGTGCTGGCCGAGGCACCAGCTGCTCCCTGTCCCTGTAGTTGTCACCTCCAGGCTTGGCAGCCTGGCTCTGGCTTATCCTCCAGCTCTTGGTTTGAGGATCATCTCAGAGACCTTCCTTGGCCCCTGTTTAAAACAGTTACCTGGTCACTCTCTGCTTCACCACACAGGCCAGTTGCTGGTGTTTTTCTTTCTCTGCTGACTGGTCCATTGTTGATAAGCTCCTGGGAGCAAGGACCTGGCTTGTCTTATATAAGACATACCCAGGGACTGAAAGAGGTTGCACATAGGAGGCTCTTGAGAAATATGGAACAAAACAAGAAAAAAATACAGAATGTGAACCGGGTGCAGTGGCACATCCATGTAATGCCGGCACTTGGGTGGCTGAGGCAGGAGAATCGCCACAAGCTTGAGGCCATGTAGTGAGTTTGGGTACGTAGTGAGTTCAAAACCAGCCTGGACTACATAGCAAGACCTTGTCTCAAAAACAAAACAAAACAAAACAGTACAGAATGAGTAAGTGTACGAATGGATGAAGGAATGAGTGAATGAATGAATGAATGAATGAATGGCTGCATGATATGGGTGTGTATTTACACTGGGGTTTTGTATGAGATTTCCCTAGAAGCTTCCCCAGGAGAGTCCATTCAACCCCTCTTCCTGCAGCCTGGTTGTCAGCTCCCCCCACAAAGTATCAGCATGGGCCCATCTGGGGCCCGTGGGACCTTGGGGTGCAGCAGTTTGCCCTTGCTTCCCAGCCCGCTCCACCCCTGCTCATGTCCACCCTGTGTTTCAGAGCATCACCAGGGGCCAGTGCAGGGCCCCGGCCACCCTCGGCTGCCCCTTCTGACAGAAATAAGAAAAGGAGCAGCAGCATCGCCTCCACGCTGGGGCTGAAAAAGCTCTTCTCGGCCCTGGGTCAGACTTCCCGGCCCAAGCTGGGCAAGTCCCGCAGCTACAGTGTGGAGCAGCTGCAGCCTGACGCACCTGGCTTGGCTTCACGCCCCAGTACTCCCCAAGTAAAGAGAGCCCCATCGTTACAGTCCCTGAATCCGGTGAGTCCCCCGGGCCCCAGGCAAGGGGTGGTGAGGCCCTCGGTAGCGAGGGAATGAAGGGCGAAAGGAGAGGAGCACTGAGGAAGCCTCCCAGGGAGCCCACGGTATGAAAGGGGAGCTGCTGGCGCGCCCACAGCGGACCTGGGCAGTGCGGGCTCCCTGCGCAGAGTGGACGGGAAGCGACCTTGAGTTCTGTCCTTCTACCAGCTCTGCAGGCCTGGGCTCACCCTAGGCTTCTCCCTCCGCATCTCCTTCCATTTTGCCACCTCTGCCCAGTCCAGGAGAGCTCATGGCCTGGTCATTCTGGAGCCTTCTGTGTGGCCACAGTAACTCTTAGTCGTGGCACAAATCACATCACACCGGGGTTACCTCGGTGCCTCTCTGCGTGTGGCTTCTGTGGTCTTTCTGCTGTGCAGGTCTGGCTCCACCACCCCTTGCTGAACGAGCGTCATTGGTCACTTACTGCATTCAGGATGAAGCTGAGACTGCTTGGTGTGGCCAGAGGGCTTCTGTGAGATGTGTCTCACCCCACGGCGCTCTCCTTTAACATCCTCGACCTCAGCTGCGCTATCAGATCACACACCGAATCTTCAGGAAAGTGTCCCCCCCCACACCTGCTCACCTGTCTGTACTCAGGCCGACGCCCTCAGGAAGCCGCCCAGTCCCTCCTCGTGCTAAGCGGGGCCTTTGCTCTGTGTTGCTGGCTGTCTCTGCTTCTGCCTTTCGCAGAATTTGTCACATAGATTTTAATTAACTTCAGTCTGTCCCCTCACTGGAGTGTAATCCTTTGAGGGAACACCACTTGACCTTTATTTTCCCAGCACTAATTACTGTAGCTCCTGTCGTGCTCGGTACCTCAGTACGCGGAGTGGGAGGGAGTGCACGGTGAGACGCAGGGCAGCTCGCTGCGTCCTCCCTCCCTGCTGCTGGTCTTGGCAAACCAAGCGTAGCTCATTTCCAGCAGGTCTCTGGAAATCCTGTCCAGTCGTTTCCAAATAGATCCCTCTGTCTCCTGTGCCTCTTCTTGGGCAAAATGAGGGAGGTGAGTGTGGGCTGGGCCATCGGAGGCTTTCATTTCTCAGGCTGCAGGGGGAGGAGAACGCACCAGAGGAGACTCCCAGGGACCTCTCTCATCGCGCAAAAAATACCGGTGTGCAGAATGACCGGAAGGCAGGGAAACAGGCAGAGAGGGCACACCGGGAGAAAGGCGGCCACGGAGACTCGCGCGCCGGAAACTCACTGCTGCCATGAGCTTACATGGGTCCAGGGTGTCTGATGCGGTACCTGGATTTATTGTCATCAGAGCTTCTATTTCTGTAAACTCCGCAAGGGAAATGATACCATTGTTCGTGTAGCAGAGGTTTACAGACATTTAAGCTGGCTTACCTTGAACAAAGATAGAGAGCAGCCTGGCCAAGATGGGGTGGGAGGACCAGCAGAAGAAAGAAATTCCCAAGAAAAAAGGTGTCTCTCGTAGAAGGATTTACATCCTCGGTGCCTTGGAGGGAAATACTTCCTGGCAGCGGGTTATGCTGCCACATGTTCGGGGACGTGGTTGCTTCACTGATTCGGTTTTTGTTTTGTCCCCAAGTGGGCAGCCACCTGGCCTCACACTCAGACATCTCAGCAGCTCCCCCAGGGCCTCCAAGCCTGTGTCAGAATCCTTCCCTTCTCCCCCGTTCCCCGGGAAACTTCTGCTTGTCCTTTCGGTCTGACTTGAATGTGACTTCTGCCAGGAAGACTTCTTCGGGCAGATGTGAGTTCAGGCTCCTTCGTAGGCTGCTGGGTGACACGCCTGCTCCTTTAGAGCACTTCTCAGTCTATTTGCGCTGCTGTAACAAAATTCCACAGAGCAGGTGACTTACAAACTACAGACACTTATTCCTGACTGTCCTGTAGGCTGGGAGAGGCCAAGGTCAAGGCGCCAGCGTAGTCAGTGTCTGGTGAGGGCTGGCTTCCTCGTGGACGCCTGAACCTCACACGGTAGAAGAGGCAAGGAAGCTCTCTGGGGCATCTCCTGTTCTCCTGAGGCTCTGCCTTCATGACTTAATCATGTCCCACAAGCCCCCTGTCCTTGGTGACTGAGTTTCAGCATATGAATTTGGAGGGAACACCAACAGTCAACCGTAGAAGCATGGGCTCCAGACATAACAACGTGGGTAACATTTGTTTAAAAGTCTGTTCTTCCTACCTCTGTACCACCCCCAACCCTGCCTTCAGAGCTGCCTCCTCACGAGGGTGTTTTCTAGAGCACAGATTCGTCTTGCTCTGCTTATTAACTTCACTCAGTAGCTCCTTAGCAGGGCATTAAGGGTCTTTGGTGTTGACCCCTTGCTTCTGACCCATATCCCACGACCCCCAAGGCCTCACCACCCAGAGCACTTGCGTGTTCCAGAATGCACTGTGCCTTGGATCACTGCTCCATTTCTGTCTTCTGCTTGGAGCATCGCATCTCTCTCTCTAGCCGAGAGCTCTTGCTTCGGTCTCACCCCAGCACCAGCCCCTCCAGGGCTCCCAGGCCTCCTAAAGTGAAGTCTGGCCTTCCCACGTGCCATTCACACTTTTAACCCAGCACCTACTACACGCAGCAGGAGCTTCCCGCTGACCTGTGCTATCCCTGCCCTTACCACTGTGTGAGCTGTTTGAAGAACTTTGACTTGTTCAGCTTTTTATGTACAATGCTTTAAGGTACACACATACGTAAAAATTTTTCAACAGAAGTGACCATAGAAGGAATGCTAAAGAATCACAAAGTATTCAAGATTTTAAATCTAAAAATGTGCTATTCTATCATTAATTTGCTTTCATTTTTTCTTAGTAAGAAAATTAGATTTTCCTACAGTAATATAGTAATATTTTAATATTAAGCTGTTATTTTGTCTAAAATTTAAAAAACCAAAAACTTTGATTCTTCCTATGACCTGTGTAGATCTGAAGTTAGTTTCAGTGTTGCTGCTGAGCCCTTGAAGTAGTGACCAGCGTGGCCCCAGGTTCGTGGTTGGGGCCATGTCTTCTGCCAGCGGTTTCCCAGGTGGCTTTTCTCACCTGCAATATTGGGCTTTCCCCACCAGGTGTCTCCCTCCCGCCAGCATCGGAAAGCTGCCTCCTTTCAAAACCTCCATTCTCTGCTGAGTGGCAGGGGCGACCGGTCCAGCCTCTACCTGGTGGAGAGCCCAGGATGCCCCAGTGCACCTGGAAGGTAAATGTGGGCACAGATGGCCTGGCGGATAAACTCAGAGGGTGACCAGTGGAACTACAAGTTAGTTCCTGCCTACCTCAGTATCACTGCCCTCTTTTAAGAGGAAATGAGAAGCCAGGTATGGTGGCTTCTCACTCTGGGAGGCTGAGGCAGGAGGATCCCAAGTTTTGAGTCCCAGTTTTTGAGGTTTTTTGTCTCAAAAAATAAAGAGGGCTGAGTGATATACTTAAATGCAAAGGGCTAGGGCCCAATCCTTGTACTACAAAGGGGGTGGTGGGAGGAAGTGAGGCATATTACCTGTGCTTTTCCCTCAACAAATCCCACCTGTGGAAAGGTGGTGGCTCGGGAGTCTTGGAGCGACCTCTCAGTGCCCTCACTCTGTGCTGAGAAGGTGAGAGGTTGTCAGGAGGGGAGGGCCGGCGGGCAGGTTTGAGCCTCTCTCTTTCTGCTGTCTCGTGATCTCCCCAAGTCAGAAAGTTTGGAGAGCTCCCCAGCCCTGCTAAAGATGTGATTAGACGCTCTGAGGCAGAGCCCTTGACCATGGCCTCTGCCGAGGCTGCCTTGGCCAGCTGCTCTTATCCTGGACCTCTGGATGGACCTGGAAACTTTATATGAAGTAATAACTTCTATCAGATCCCCAAAAGACTCTACTGAAAGCATTTAGAAGCCACACTCTAAGTGGTGGAGCTTTCTGGTGCTATGGCCGGCTCTGAGGCACCTGGGACAGATGTGGCAACCCACCGCCCTCCACCTAGAGCGCTCTTGGCGCTGGCTGGGTCAGCAGTGGCTCTGGGGAACCCCAGCCTCCAACACCAGACTCGGAGTCTTGCAGGCCTCCATCATATGAATGTAAACAGTGGAAAGCTGGGCCGCCATGCCCCACCGTCTGGCCTCACTGTGTCTCTGGTCCCCTCACAGGCCGGCCAAGGTCCCTCCCCGGCGCACCCTCAGTGTGGAGGATGTGGGTGCCCCCAGCCTGGCTCGCACCGTGGGCCGCGTGGTGGCAGTGTTCCCGGACGGCACGAGCGAGCTGCAGCTACAGCGTTCCCCCGAGGGCACCTTTGGTTTTCGCGTGGGCTCCGGGAATGGGCGCAGGGACTCAGGTATGCGCCCTGCCTTCCTTATGGGCCCCTGCAGCGCTTCTGGGCAGTGGTTAGCATTGCCTGATCCTTCCTTGTCTGAGCAGTGGTGCTTTGTGGATTCAGAAAGTTGCTGCGCTACAGGCCGCCCTGGGGGAGCTCCTCTGGGTACCAGGCCCTGGGAGTTGACGCTGTGACGGCCCTGGCAGCTACAGCTCTGGGTGACAGGGTTGACCCCACTGCCCCCCTGCTGTCTGGTGGCACCCTGAGATCAGAATCTGGAAGGCTGTCTTTCCACGGGGAGGCAGGGAGCTGCCTGTGCTTGCTGGCCTCAGCTTGCCCTTTGATGTGGTTGATGTGTTCCAGCGGTTCCCTCCTCCAGCTGCTGGTGTGTCTGGGCATGTGGAAAGGGCCTGCCTGTCTATGCTTCCTGTCCATGTTCTGTCCCGCCCTGGGTTGCCTTCTGGCTCTTGATTGCATCATCGGCAGGGGCATGGAGGGGCCCTGGGCCCCATTCTGCACTCTGGGTCGTCCTGTCCCATCCTGCCTGAGTCCTTCCGGGTGGCCTCATGTCTCCAGACTTTTGCCCAGGGTCTGTGGTCCAGGATGCAGTACAAGACAAGGGACCCTGAAGGACATCCCAGAGAAGATGAGTAGGGAAGGAGGCGCGCATGCTGGGGGAGGGGAAAGAGAAGAGACACGGGGACACGCCCAGGAGCTGTTTGGCTGGGCTCTGGCAAGGAGGGGTTAGTCCTGTGCTTTGATCTCTGAGAAAAGAAAAAATCTGCCTGTCACCATGCCTGCAGAATGCAGCCCAAGTTCTCGCCTCTGTTGCATAGCTCGTTGTTTCAGCAGATACATGCAGAGCACCTACCAAGCGTCATAGATTTGGGGGTTCCAGTAGCGCAGGTAACGGAGAAATCTCTGACCTCCTGAGAACACATTCCAGGGAGAGGGGGAGGCTGTGTCTGCAGTAAGTTTACCTTCTGTATTATGTCAGATAGCGAAATGGAAAGTACTGAGGAACAAAACACAAATAAAGCCAGCGTAGCAGCTGCTAGTGTGGGCAGCTTTTTCAAGAAGATGACACTTGAGCAGAGGTGGGGCTGGAGTGTGGGAGGAACCAAGCGGCTGTGGGGGGAAGCGCATTCCAGGCAGCGAGCACAGCAGGTGCAAAGCCCTGCGGGGAGGGAGCTTCGCTGTGGTGGGGAGGTGGGCCGTACCATCCTCGGGGCTCTGGCTTTCTCAGGGAGAAGGGAGTCTCTGAGGACTCGGAGCAGAGTTACCATGAACAGGGTGGGAGCTGCAGTGTTCAAAACAGACCCCAGTGGGAAAAGGTAGAGACAGGCAGAGCAGTTTTACCAAGCTACTTCCTCAGTGTAGGAGGGAGCTGGCGGTGGCTCGGACTGGGGCGGCTGTGGACCTGGTGAGGAAGGGGGGGCTTCTGGTGGTTTTGCACGTAGCTCTGGCCGAGTTTGCTGAAGGATGAGCATGAATGTGAGAGGACAGGTCTCCCCCGCTGGACCTGCGGAGGGTGAAATGGCAGTCTTCACAGGGAGATGACGTTTGCCTGTCCCTACAGCCTCTTCTTAGGCAGGTCAGAGGCCTCCCAGGCCCCCCGTCGGAAGTCAGTGGGGAGAGAGCGTGTACTGTGCCACCCGGGCTGGGGGGCCTCGCGCAAGTGACTTATCCTCCGAGCCTCAGCCCCCTAACCTGTGGAACGAAGACACCCCTTGCCTGGAGGAGGCACGGGAACATTTGACGAGGTTCAAAATAAAGTGCCTGGCTCTTTTCTTCCCTTCCTTTTCAGAAGGAGAAGGTACATGAGAGAGCAGAATCTCTGACCAGGACCAGCATGACCTGCGTCCCTGTCAGTGTGAAGCCCAGCACCGTAGGGGGCTGCGCTCTTCCCTCCCACGGAGGCGGCGCCTCCACCTCTGTCTCAGAGCTGTGGTGCGCCAGGTCTCTGAGAACTGAGAGGCTCTGTCCTGGCCCTGCTCCCGCGGGTGCCCCTTGCTGGGTGTCCCACTAAGGTAGGGCCCTGCCCCTGCTGCTCAGCTGGCTGCTGGCCATCTCACGGCGGTCCCTGGGCACACAGAGCGAGCGGGTGCTGGTGCACCTTACCTCCACCTTCCTCCAGAGCCAGGGTCACATCTCCTGGGCTGCAGAGGGGGTGAGCTGAGCGGGTGCTGGCTCCTTGGTAAAATGTCAGGATGTTGCTATTAGCTTGCTGGCTATCATATCTGTTTCCATACGAACAGCAGGCTTTGCCTTCTGCTCCTAATTGGCTACGGTGTAGATTGCACATCCTCACAAAGAGCACCTCCAGCAGACAATAAATGCCCACAGGAGCAGACTGTCTGTCATATTTCTGTTATGACTTTCGGTTAGGAAACCTACCCAACGCTCCTGAAAACGACCAGTGATGTCAGTGTCTGGTCAGGCTCGGCTGCATTCTTTGGGGCTGTATCATCACTCCCGTCCCGCCTCTCCCGCTGCGCATCAGGCACTTGTCAAGGTTTACGGGGCCCCCTCACCTTCCTCTCCCTGGGCCACCTGTGTGGAGATGAGGCGGGCAAGCTGCTGCACCACCTGAGAGAGCAGGGAAAAGGGGGGCAGAGCCGGAGAGAAAAGGCTGTGCAGCAGGATGGAGACACCTTTGTTCAGGGGGAGACCAGCCTCTGCCTGGCTAGGAAGCAGTGCAAAGCGGCTGAACACGGCAGACCAGGGACAGGGAATGTGTATAAAGACCAGCTTTGCTTGACAGAGCTACAGACCGCTGCGTGCCGCTGTGGAGGAGGAGCAGACACCTGTGCTCTTGCAGACCTCTGGACTTCCATGGCTGGGGCTGAACAGGGTGCTGTGGGGCCTGGGGGACCAAGCAGGACTGCTGATGGGTCCCAGATGCTGAAAACTGTCAGGCCAGGACTGAGCAGCCAGACCAGATGGCTTTCTGAGTCCCTGCTAAGCGTCGAGCCTAGGAAAAGGAAGTGGAGCCAGACTGCAGGGCAGCTCTTCCTGTTTCCCCTGTGGAGCCACTGAGCCTGGGTCGGCCGGTGGTGAGCACTAAGCTGCCCCGGTGGGGTCTGCTGATGTTGTCAGCCATGCGAAGGTCACCCCAAAAGATCATCCTCTAGCAGACCTAGCTGTGCTCCAGACCCACATATTCCCTTGGCATGGAGCATAGGCAGTAGGCTCCGGTGACTGGAAGACCCTGTGCCACATTTAATCTCAGGGGGGCACAGCTGACAGAACTTGAGAATCACTGGGTGCTCTTGCTTGCAGCCGGGAGAAGCCAGCCTAAGCAGCGCAGGTCCCTGAGGGCACCCCTGAAAAGCAGCCGGGGACAGACACAAAGACGCGGCTTCCCCCGGGGTCGCTCGCATCTTCTAGACCAGGGAATGACCGTACTGGCCAGGTGGTGGGGCAAAGAGGAGAGTGCGCCGCGGCTTTTAAGCATTTTTCCCCAAGTGAGGCACTGTATGTAAGACCAAGGCCCAGGTCAGCCCTGGACGTACTGTGAGGCCTCAACCACCTTCCCTTCTCCAGTGACGCTGTCCCACACCACCCCAGCCTTTGTGCCATGCCTGGGTTCCTTGAGGCAGCAACTAGGCCCCACCTAGCACAGTATTAGGCACCTAGTAGGAATTTTTTCTTCATTTTTAAAAACTACATTTCTGCTGTAAAAGTTCATCTCAGAAAAAGATGAGCTCATTCACACCTGCACTGATGAATAGCACCACCTTCAAGCATTATTTGCACCAGGGGCATTTCTACTTGAAAAGAGGAGCAGAGAAATGAGGTCAGACCATGGAGGAGATGCACTCTATCTCGGTATAAAGCCAACTGTAGTTGTGATGTGGAATGATGGTGTGTGTGTGTGTGTGTGTGTGTGTGTGAGCGACCATGCCCTGTGTGAACACCGCACCCTCACATGCGCTGTGTCTCCCTGGCCGATCGTGTATGCTCTCACGTGGGTTCCCCATTTCTCCTTCCCCTTTGCAGGGCTCTACGTGCAGGAGATGGCTGACCTGGACACCGCCAAGCTCTACTCGGGGCTGCTGGGGGTCGGGGATGAGATCCTGGAGGTGAACGGGGCCAAGGTTGCTGGGCTAAGCTTGGCTTACATCACGGAGCTCCTGGCCCATTCAGAGAGCCTATCGGTTCGTGTCCTGAGGCAGAGGCCTGTCCTTCGGTGACCCGGAAATGCTGCTGCCCCAACTACCGCCCCCTCAGGAGCCCTGAGCCGACTGGGAATGTGCTGCACAGAGCTGCTTTGTGGACTGAAAACACAGATCGTCGTGGCATCCAGCCCTTCAGGCTGTGGCAGGACTGCTGTGATGGACACCCAAGGGACAGACAAGGAGCCTATGAATGTATTTTGGTTAAGGCCATTAATGTATGCAGAACTGGGGAAAGAAAATACTGGTCTCTCTACTCACTAGAGATGGCGACATCCATCATCCCTTTGTTGGTGTGTGTGGGGAAGAGAGAGATTCGGGAGGTCCTTTGGTTGGCCTGGGAGAGCTAGCCTCGCCTCCAGGTGCCACTCCTGAAAAGGCTTTGCCGACCTGCAATGCTCCAGGAAGAGCGGACACCATGGCCCCGCGCCCTTCCTATCTCCACTCTCCCACTTGCCACTTTTGCCCTTCATCCAGAAAGGGGCGGGTGTCCTGGAGTAGCAGCCCCACAGCCAGAGAGCGCGTATTCCAATGCAAACCTCAGAACATGTGCTCTGACAAGGGTTTTATGGTCCTTCTGCATGTGAGAACATCTGGGAGATGTTATCTGGTAGCCAGAATATTAAAAATTTCCTAGAAATTTTTATGATATATAAAGTTAAAGGGGGACATGAAACCAAAGCCAGTTTCAGGGGGTGCAGCTGTGGTAGGCAGGGCTGGGCGAGTGCAATGGTGGACCGAGCAGCTCCCTCCCTCCCTCCCTCCACACCCACCCGCCCGCACCCTCCCCTCCATCGCTGCCTGTGGGGCTGCAGTTTGCAGCCTGGGCTGGTCTTTGTTCTCCTGTCCAGCTTGGAGACAGGGCTGCAGCTGGTGTCTGGCTGTCCCCCAGCTGCAAGCTTCCTGTCCAGACCTCCCTGGTGGCAGCTGTGGGTGGGCAGGGAGGCAGCAGGGAGGCTCCAGAGAACAGGCGCTGCCCATCCTGCCCCGGCGGGCGCTTCCTGCTCTGCACCTGGATACTGCCCAGAGGGTTGGGACTCTTTGAGTACATGGCTGTGTGTCAGTCTTAAATTATTAAAATGCAAAGCTGAAGCTTCTGCACTCTGAGTTGTAAAATTCTGGGCTCAGTTGACCTTCAGCAGGGGCTGGAAGCCACAGATACATTGGTGGGCGTGCCAGAGGGGAAGGCTGGGGAGGCCCCAGCTGCAGGGTCACAGTCTGTTAGATGCAGAAGCCTGGGGAGTGCTGGGCTGGAAGAGGGGCCCCGGCAAGGTTTATGGTGGGGAGAGAATGAAGCTCAGAGGCCTCGAGAGATGCAGCTGAGGAGAGGCGCTCAGGGCTGTTTGGACCTTGCCTGGGTACTGGCTGTGGTCTAAACCAAGACACCGGCTTCAGCAGAATCTGCTTGAAATGAGCATCCAGGCAGCTTTCACGGGGCAGAGAGGGTGCTGAAGCAGGCTCGTGGCTGAGGACAGCCACTGGGGGGCGGGTGGCAGGCCTCTAGGATGTCGGGGTTGTAATCTCCTGGTCCAGGGTCTTGGCAGCAGGAGCCGGGAAACATCCCTCTCATGTCCTGCAGTGGGGCAAGAGCAGGGCTCTCAGAGCCCCGAGCACACAAGATGGGGTGCAGGGCTGCCACGGGCGGGGTCGGGAGGAAGGAACTGGGGCAGGTGGGCAGAAGGGCCAGAGCAGCGAGTGGCTGTGAAGGGGCTGCTGGGACACCTCAGAGACAAACCTCACCCCCTCAAAGTGCAGAAATGGCCTCACAGCAGGAAACTACATAAGGACACTTCCGGGAAGAGGGGTTTAGGCAAGGCTGGTTAGCCCTAGGGGGCTGGAGCCTGGGGTCTGACAGCCATGCCGGGTTTTGTACCCCTCCGCACGGTGTGTGTGGGGAGGCGGGATGCGGGAGACCCCTGCTTTGCCAGAGCAAGCACTGTCCCAGGCGAAGGAAGGATGAGCACAGCACGGTGCCGGGCCTGGTTGAAAGGTCTCGAGGCAGCGTGGGAGACCGGCTGGAGAACCGGCTGCTGGGGGATGGGAAGGCTAATGGGCCGACCAGGAACCGGGGCAAGTGTGGGGCCCGGCGCAAGAATGAGGACCTGGCGCTTGGTGGGGCGGGGCGGGTGGCGGGCAGGCCTCAGGCAGGATGGGCAGCTCCAGACACGGCCTGAATTTTGAAAAGCAAAGTTAACTTGGGTATTCGGGGACTGCAGAGTCCTGCCCGCCGCTCTGCATATAGCCCAGAGATTTGGTAAGTCTTTAATTAAGGACACAACCCTGAATCCTTGCAGCAACTCTGGAGGGGACACTGCTCTAACCTCCGGATCACAAATGAGGTGTGGGAGAGGCAACTTACCCAAGATCACAACCGCAAATCCCAATGACAGGATTCAAACTAGCTGTCTGCGACTCCGGGGCTGTGTCCTCCCACCCTCAGGGCCCTCATGATGGCTCATCAGGACCCCTGCCCCCACGCACCGGCTCCGTGCGGAGCACAGCCTGCCGGCAGCGCAGCCTTCACCCGACGGGCCCCTTCCTGCCCGCCTGGGCAGCTCACTTCCCGGGGCAGTGTTTCCAAGCCAAGCACGGCCCACCGGTGGGTCACAAAAGCAACGTAATGGGTGGAGACCAGCATCTTTAAAAAGGAGAGAGGTCGGAAGAAAATAAAAGAAACCTGGTAGAAGAGAATGCCTCCCCCAAGGCAGGAGGAGGTTCTCCCCTGCCCCCCAACCCCGCCCTCTTTGAGCTGGTGGGGGTGGTGAAACCTTGGCCTGCCCCTGACAGAAGGCCCCCTTGCTCTGAGGTCCCTCACCAGGAGGCCTGAGAACTAAGTGTGGACGCACTTCCTGGTCCTCCGAACTGGCTCAGGGCAGGGGAATTCTCTCACTTGGGTAACTGGCAGGAGCTCAGGTTGCTGGTCCCCATCCCGCCGCCCCAACTCCACCCTTCCATTTTCCGACTGTTCCCTCCTGCTCGCCTTGTATCGCCGCCGGAATGCCCATCACCCATGGCCTGGCAACGTTCATGGATTCGAGGGCCTGGCCTGGGGGGCATCCCGCAACACCTGCATGCTCCCCTTAGCGCCTGCAGACTGCAGTCATGGGCTCTGATTCTCTTCGGGGGAAGTGCTTGTTTATCCTCCATAAAACTTACCAGGCGACAACCGGAACTCCCTAGTCCCTCTGTCCTACCCATTCCCCACTCCCAGCCCTCGTCTCCTTCTGGAGCTACTCAAAAGGCCGCCGTTGTCGCTGGATCCCCTTTCCGCCCTCCTCCACCATCCTCTGTGAAGTTTTTCTTTCCTGTAGAGCCAGAGCACCTGCTTAGGAATGGCAACAGCCTTGCTTGGCAAGAAGCTTCCTCAGCTCGCAGGCTATGGGTCTGGCCAGGTCAGAGTGCTGGCCCCAAGGAAGGGGGCTGCTGGGCCTGGCTCAGACACTCTGCCCACCGAGCCAGGGCTCAACAGCTGCCCCACCTGTCGGGGGGATGGGAGCTGTCCTGTGGATGCCAGTTACACATGGGGCCTGCCTTTGTTCCGTCCTTCTGCAGTCTGGGCTCAGGCTCCCACTCCGCATGGAGCTGCCCCAGGGGCCCTGGCCATGGGCCAGACACAGGGGAAAGGGATGGTCTGCCCTTGGGGTGCCCACATCCTCAGGATGACCGCAGCTACACCCGTGAACAAAAGACAAGCCAGATGCTAAGGGCAGGAGAGCCAGGCCCAGGCGCTGTGGCCTCCAAGCTCCCCAGCCTGCATGCAGCTCTGGAGCTGGAATGCCGGCAGTTGCAGGAGCGCCCTGCAGCACTGATGCCAGTGGTTCTCACGGCGGCACCTGGACTGAATCGCCAGGCTTCACTGGCTTTATACAGTAAGGAGTTTGGCTCAGTTTTGGATTTTTTTTCGGGGGGGGGGGGCTGTCTATTTCTAGCCAAACAAAAGCTCCAAGACATCTCAGCAGTGAGGCAGACCTGCCTGAGATCCTGGACCAGATTCCTTGACTCTACAGTGAGCTTAAAGGTCCTAGTCAAGTCTAAGGTGACTGTATACATGCTTCATCCGAGGCACCTCAAAGTTCAGCACTTTAATCCCCCACTGACCCATTTAGCTGTTTTGATGCCGCTTCCCCTCTCAGCTTTGGTTACTATCGTTTCTCAAGTTAGAAACATCTGCTTGCCATCCCTGAAATCAGAATGGCATCTTTTCCCCCTTATGGGATGCTTCATATGGTCCAGCTAGACCAGGGTTCAAATCTGATTCCCCAACTTAATAGTTCTAGCTTTGGGAAAATTTCTTAATTGCTTCACATCTGTTTCCAAGTGTAAAATGGGTCTCAGTAGTGTCTCCCACAGGGGTTGTAGGAGTTGCTGACTTTTCCCAAAGGTCAGCACTTCCAGAAGGGGGATCAAGGACGTGATTCTTATTCTGTTCTCTCTGTTGCCCCACACTCTGGTCCCAAAAGAAACCCTGTCCCCTGTGGTATTTTGTACACGGCCTAATTAGTTTGGGGTTTAAGAATTCATTAAGAATGCAGCTGGTTCAGCCAGAGAAAGCATAATTCATAATTCCAATCTCCTAGCAGCCGCTACCAACACTCCCCTCACCCCAGGCACGCCTGCTGATGTTTACTGGTGGCTGTAGGAAGAGGACCTGTGGTTAGGTATGAAAACAACTAAGACCACACCAGGTATAGAGGCATGTAATTGCAGCACTCTGGGAGGCTGAGGCAGGACTACAAGTTCGAGTCTGGCCTGGGCAGCTTAGCAAGATCCTGTCTCAAAACGAAAAAAGGGGCTCGGGGTATAGCTCAGCGTGAAGGCCCAGAGTTCAAGCGCAAAAACAACAAAACACCCAGCACAAAGTTCATGGTCTCTCCATTTCTCTTTAATACTGAACAGTATTCTTCCATAGTTGTAACACAATTTCAAGAGCAGAAGTAGGAAACATTACTGATAAACTTCAGGATGTAAAAATATCACTTTTTAAGGGTGGCTAGTTGGGTTTTTGTTTTACATAAGTATTCTTTAAAAGTTTTCAAGTTTGTGGTGTCATCCAATCTTAGGATTACAATCAAAAGCTGTGGATGATGTTGTATTTTTCAAGGACTTTTTTCCCCTGTAGCCTGGAGTCCCGGACACTGTAGTCAAGTGTATGCTGAACTCCCTGGAATGCTGGCCTCAGGCCCACAGGACAGAGGCCTCAGAATGTGCATTCCTAACTAGTCCCCAGGTGATGCGACGCCACCACAGGTCCCACTCCCCCCCTGGGAGTCATGTCTAAAGGAAAAAAAATCTACCCGTGAGGGTGGTCAACTTCTGGCCCCAGGGCTCTGGCTCCTTCTCAGCCTGTGAAAAACGAATGTCGCCTAGAAGCCACCAGGTGCCTGAAGTTCTAATCCTGACATCTTCAGTGTGTGCCTTCCAATTATTTAAAAATTATTTATCCTTGGAAAAATATTTAATGCTTTGTTCCTGGTGAATTTTGCCATGTATTCTACATTGTATTTCTGAATTATACTAATTTCTGATTACAAATAAGCTAGGGAAAACATATTTCCACTTACAAAAACAGACTCCATCACCATTTACAGCTTGGTTGCTACCTGGCTTCTAGGCTGCTCCTCAAGGACTGGACCATCCTCTCATTACCCACAGATGACAACACAGACATCTATTTTTCTGGGGTGAAGACGTGTGTTTCTCCAAGACAACCCGTAGCAGCAGGGTCACACCTGCCTGCGTGCGGAGTGCCTCATCTGAATCTACTTTCTGCTGACTGGAAAGACAGTCTTGAATACTGCGCCACCCCAGGTCTGACAAAAAGCTTGGCTGGAGCAGGGTGCAGAGCTGCTGGACAGGGGCCCAAGGGCGTCAGTCAACAAACAAGAAAGGTGGGTGGTCTTATTCCTAACATCTGCTAAATAACCAAGTGGGGTTTGGTAACTCAAGTCCTTAAAAAATAAATCTGGGAAATACTTTCTCAGTGTAGGCAGAGCTGGCAAAGCAGGTCTGTGAAATGTGCATGTCAAATGCAAGGAGTGCTGACCCTGGGGCCCGTCACAGTCAGCACAGTGAATGTATCTGCACAAGCATGGGAAGGTGCTTCTGGACAACGGTCCCATCGGAAGGAAAGAGCACCGGCATCCGAGGTAAAGCAGAGGGAAACCAAGTTCTTTTCTTCTTTCCTCACCCAGCCCCCCATCACCGAATCGGTACAGCTTGTGATGTACAAAGACCTCCCAGGTATACCTAGATCAGGCAACCTGAGCACGGGCACTGGGATTTTCAGAGCTTCAGTGTTTGTCTAAAAGGTTTAAAAAAAAAAAAAAATCACCAAGCCTTTGGGGAGGAGTTAAGCTCCAGTTAGCATCATTCTCCTTAAGTTCTGTCACTGAGGTCAGCTTTAAGTGCCTTAACCTGTCTCACAAAGTGTGTGGGCTCCAGATGACCCCGTCCAGAATGCAGCGCACGAGTGACTCCATGCACATTGGGGTGAGCTGCCATTGTTCCAGCAGGAGGATCGCTCTCAAGCACGCACAGCCCCGAGTCTACATCAAGGTGATACCTTCGGAGATCCAATCTCTTCGAGCCCTCTCCTTTCCGGGTCACCAAGCACTCACAGGAATGCTGTGCAGGGCAAAAGGGTTGTTTTACTTCACTCAAAGCTCTCTTGCTTTTCTGCACTTAAGAGCAGAGAGCAGTTTCCCGGTGAGCATCACCAAGGAATGTGTGATTACACACAGCAGACCGGTGCGGCCCCAGTGCGGCCCTAGCCTGGGTAAGACCGCTTCAAGTGTAAGCACATTTCTGAAAGCTGGGAATGGGTAAGGGCAGTGGACTACACTTCCCCTACCTGGAAGCAAAGGCCCTGGGAGGGGCAAGCGGCTGCATCCTGGTGGCCCACAGGCCTCTCCTCATTGTCCTGAATTCCAGAAAGGACTGTGGTGAGGGTACACGGTGACAGAGCAGGTGACAAATCTGGGAGCCTTTTGGTTTCATCTTCTCTCCACGCTTGGTGGGCAAAGAACATTCTTTTTGAACAAAAGAAAAATATATGCGTTGTCTTGTAAATTCGGGAGGGAAAGAAATGCCAGTGAAAGGAAGAGAGGGAAAAAGGTATGCAGTCCATACTTTAGAAGTCCATGCTTCCCAGGCAGTCCGTTTTTGTTTTGTTTACAAATTCATCCCATGGTACTAGATGAAGCCAAACAGTACAAAGTCCACAGAGTTGAAATGCAACTCATGTTTATCATTCAATTCCTTGATCTTCAAATGTTATGAATTCTTTAAAAAGGTAACAGGGAATAGCTGTCCCTCTGGTCTCACTTTATGGCCAGGGAAATTACCAAAAGAAAAATCTTGGCTCCATCACCTTTACTCACAGAAGGTAAAACACTTAACAGAGACAGATTTCTGTTGGAGTTAGACTAGATTTCTTTTCACAGCCCTTAATCGCACGAGGTGAGAAGGAGTAGAAGTTGCCAAGTTGTTGGCTACCAGACCCATCAGTCTGTTTAACGCTGGCTAACAGCAGAGAATAATGGGCAAGTTACCAAGTTTCCCCCCTTCAGCTCTGGCAGGAATTCTAAAATTATGGAAGAGCTGCATGTAACACACACACCCACACCCACACCCACGCTGTACCACACACTTCACTTCCATTTGCCACACAGTCCAGAGCGGGCATTGAATTGTGATTTTTCACAGTCCACAAAGACCAGAAATTAGGACTAAAAACTGAAGGTATTTTCGTTTTCCGGTTGGAATCACGCTCTGGCAGAATCTCTCAATGGTTCATTCCCATCTCACCCACCCCCACATCAGTTAAGTAAAATGTTCTTCCAGGGAACATAAATTGAGCTCTTTCTCTGTTACCCATCACACCCTGCCGCTTCTTTACAATGATGAATCTGAGAGTTGGTACAGAAGACCCAGCTCCCACCAGGCGGCACTTAAGCAGAGTGGGGCGCCCCTGCTGCCTCTTTCTCTCCCTAGCCCAGGGCACAGGAATGGACAACTGAGGTTCTCCAGATCACTAAAGAGGACATATTTGTCCTTGAAAAGAAATGCAGGTCTCTGGGCTTGTTCTCTTTGGCTGCCAGTTTAAAGCCTGAAAAGGGGACCTTCAAAATGAACATCCCTTCTGCAGGGACAGCCCAGAAGGGCACGGCAGCACCAGGCCAGGACTAAGTCAGCCAAAGGTAGGAGTGTGATGGCCCATGGGGAGAACACCTGCATTTTAAGTTGATTTTTTCTTTCAAAATGGTTCCTACTCAGCTTCAGCTTGTCAGGTCTACAGCAGTCAGTTTAGTAAACACCTTACATCAGTGAGGTCAACACAATAATTCAAAATGTATCAAACCGAACTAAGCAGGGGTCCCAACACTGATCCTTGAACTAATGGGAGGATCTTCTTCATTAGTGACCAGCCGTGCTCTAAACAGCCCTGACTGACACAGTCTGGTAACAGCAAGACAGTAACATGGCTTTTACATAGAAGACTCTTAGAATTCTTTGAAATGATAGCTGCTTCTTTTAATGTGGAGTATGATTACTATACTTGGGGAAAAAACACCACACTTATTTTGAGCAAAAGACTTCCATATTTCAATGCAAGGGACCATCTCTGGTCTAAGTTTATAGAAGACTATTTGAATAAATCTTAAAACTTTGTGTCTTAAAACATAAATAACTTAGTATCCCTTTGAAGTCCTTTGTCATATTTACTTTTTCCCTAATTTGCAAAGAAATAACTTATTCAATATATCAAAAATTAAAGTTGAGTGTAAACATGGATGTAAACCACCCTTTCCGTTTTATAAATTTGTTGTTTTAGCTTTCATCAACAGGCAGGTTTCCTTACCTACAATGATCCTAAACAAGATAAAATATCCTCCTTTAAAAAACTGTTACAGATATTTATTAAAAAGTGCAATTTAAAAGCTAGCTGGGCAAGCACACCATGGCAAATCATAAAAGGGGGGAAAAACCCACGAAAACAAAACCACAAGAAATACGTACAAGCAAGTGTTTTTAAAAAAAGTCAGTGTGCCGAGGAATGCTCAAAAAGACAAGAAAGCCAAAGCTCAAACTCTATCCACATGCCGCTGTTCTTTCCAAGGGCAAATGGCGGTGAGGACAGACTGGCAGCCGCCACCACCGAGTTCTGGCTCTGGATCCACCACTACTTCATCAGGTTATGCATCAGGGAGGTTATAAAAATTATCCGGTATACATGTGCACATTTGAGGCATTGCAAAAGTCATCAGAGGCTTGCAGTTTTTAGTGTCTCAGCAATCTCAGCTAGTTAAACTCAATAAAAGCATCTAACATTAAATCCGAATTGGCTCAGTTATCTAAATGGGAAATAAAGTCAAGTTGTCACCTTAGGGAAGAAAAGAATCAAGTTCTACAACCAAGTTGCCATTACTAACAGGTAAGAGAATTCTGGTCCAGAGTGCTGCTCTAGCCTTTTCGTAGCACGGGAGTTTCCGTGTAAATATAATGAGTGTACTAACCCCTCCAAACCCACCCCCAGTGCGGAGTGCCACAGGAATAAAGAAGTGTCGAAGAGGACCCAAGGTCCTAATTCATTCCAGCATGCTGCCTAGCTGTTCAACAACAGACTCAAGGGTTACCCTAAAACTGCAAGCTGCACCTGGGGTGGGGGGAGCCCTGGGGCAGCAACCTGGAGTCCTGAGCTCTGGTGACATCATCAACCTTTCCCGAAGCTGTGCCAATCAGGTCCCACTGCCCTTTTCAACTGTCCCTGTCCATTCAAGCCACAAGCGGTTAGCACCCCTAAGCTCCAGGGTGTTTTACGAGTTTCCATTAGTTATTCCTACCACCAAAAAAAAAAAAAAAAAACAAAACCAAATTGCACCTGGAAAAGCAATTTTATCTTAGCACTTATCCCTGAAAAATGAAACTCTGCGTTTTCTGTCACAAACTGCTTCTGAGCCTTCTGTCCTCATCAATAACCAGCTCTCAGGGACTTGGAAATGCTACAGCGATGGGAAACACAGCGTACCCAGCAGCCACATTCTCAACGGGTTTCTTTCGATGGGACACCGGTGCCCATCTGGGTAGGGAAAGTTCTGAGCAAAAGAAAGAGCTGCCCAAGACGGATGGATGAGCAGTGGTGACACTAGTGGGTCTTCTAGTTCTTCTGGGTGATGCAGTTCCCTCCTCCGGGAGCAAGGTCCAGCAAGGCAAAGCAGCGGCTGGCTATCCTCAGTCAGGACAGGCGGAGGGGCTTTTGTCGTCCAGCCAGGAGTGCGATCATCTCCTTCCTCTTCCTGTGGCCCTTCCAGCGCTGGGTGGAGAAGCTGTCTCAAATGTGGAGTCACACAGAGAAAAGGCCACACAGCGGCAGGTTTCCAGGAGAGGAATGTGACTGACGGAGTGTGCTTGTTTCTCCTCCTCCCCTCGGTTCCTGGACAGGAGGAACCACAGTGGTGGCGCCATCACAGCACTAGAAAGAGGATCAGCACGACCAACAGGACCGCAAAGAGGATGGCTATGGCACACCACTGGCGCCGATCTGGAAGGCAGGACAGGAAGATTAGCCGACCTGGGCAGTCTCCACTCCCCAAGACACAGGCTCATGGAATCTGAGCGCCTTTTAAACAGAAAAGGGACGAAGGTGCAAGGGACAGGGCAGAGAGGATCTGGACGCTGCGCCTCAGTGCCTGGTACTCAAATCCCACTCTGCCCTTGGCCTGCGCTTCATGCGCATCCAACTTTGCCAGCCACCCGAAAAGTGCTTCGGAGTAAGTGTGTGCGTGGAGTTCTCAGACCTTAGCTTTCCGTTGGTAGTTAGTGCCCCCCTAGGAAAGGTGCTGGCACTGGTATTAGTGTTTCCATCTCCCACCAGTCAGGTCATTTAATTCAACATGGCCAAGGTCCTTTTTCTGTGAACGCTGCAAGAGGTGCAAACTACTGTTGGCCACTTCAGGAAATGAACAGCTAAAAAACGGAGCTCCAGTAAGAGAGCATAATAAATAATTTTACCATACCTATTCAACTAAGAAGATGCATTAACCAGTAACCATGCTAAAGGAATGTGTCTGTAAGTGAAAGTAAATGAAAGCACAAGACTTTTCTGAACCCTTCTGGCCTACCAACATCTTAGGACAGCAGAATAGGATACAAAGTGGCTCAAGTCCTTCAGAATGGCTGGGAACAGGGAGGCTCCACAGGACAGAAAAGTCCACGCAAGACCACGAATACCTGCGCTGGCCCATGATCCTGCGTGTGGCTCTAATGCTACAACTGCTGCCACACAGAGCTGTTGTGAGAATGAAACAACACAAACACAGCCACACAGTCCGTAGTGCCCACTCCTGGGTCCAAGGGACGCTTTCCTACCTTGGGGAGAGGTACAGAGAACAGTCTCTCCATAGGTGAGTCCAATGTCTTCTACAGAGGGGCAGACTGGTAGAGAAGAATTTCACTAGCCTAGGCAAACTGCAGTTCAAACACTAGCAGAAGTTCCCCTTACACAGAAATGTAAAGCTAATACTTACTCATTGAAGTTTATTGGAAAGTCAGGAGATTTTAAGACAGTATAGCATTGAGAATCACATTGTAAGAAGGCTAAAATAGACTGCAAAACTCTCCACAAAGCAAAATATGTACTTACAATTATTTTAAATGTCATGTATATCAAAATCTTAGAACTGGCCAAGAGAACTGCCTCCAAATTAAAGCAAGTAACTCCTCTTTACTTCTTCTTCTTTTTCTTTTTTTGGTGGCTGGCACTGGGGATTGAACCCATGGGTTCTCTACTACTGAGCTATATCCCTGGCCTTTTTTATTTATTTTAAGATAGGGTTTTGTGAAGCTACCCAGGCTGCCAGGTGTGGTGGCGCACACCTGTAATCCCAGCACTTGGGAGGCTGAGGCAGGAGGATCACTGTGAGTTTGAGACCAGCCTGGGCTACACAAAGTGAGTTCAAGGCCAGCCTGAACTGCACAGTGAAACCCTGTCCTAAAAAGACCAAAAAAAAAAAAGCTACCCAGGCTAACCTTGAACTTGCAATTCTCCTGCCTTAACCTGCCAAGTAGCTAGGATTGTGAGCATGCGACACCACACTCAGCTCCCAAGTACCTTCTTAAAAATGATCACCGTCTCAACCTCAGACATGCCAGAAACTCACTAACTGTGCTTTGGACAATTATTCCAATTCTATCCATTCCTTTTCTGAAGTTGGACTAGTGCAAAGGGTATAGAGAGGCAGAATTGGTCTATCACAGACTTTTAACTTGTTTAACCCTCACTTCAGTGGCCAAGAAAACTTGCATATCTAGCATTCTTTCATCTCTTTAAGCGTGCTGGACTTCCAGTTTCCAGTCTGGCAAGGACAGAGCTTAGAAGTTATCACTCTGTCCTAACAACTAAAATACTGAACTGAAAAATCAATTCTTCTTAGATCCCTCAGAAGAGTGAGTCCAAGGTAGACTGCTGCCACTAATAATGTAGAAACCTGCAGGTCAATGCAGAGAACCACGACTTAACAGAGCATAAACCCGCCAGCAGCCCTCCACCAAAACCAGGCCTGTGGAGAACTTGCAGGGTAACTGGAACACTGGAGGTGCCGTGCAGACAGGGCTACCTTACGAAAGCTCCCAGGAGAGTAAGGTAAGGGGGATCCCCTGCACGTTTATGAGTTTTATCTCCAGAGGCTCGACCAGATTCTCACAATGAATGTGGGAGAAAAACACTCTCTTGGTTCTGAACTCAGAGAGACAAAAGCTGTTTTGAAATAAGCTAGAGATTTTGTCCTTAACAACGCCACACCTCTGGGGAAACTATGTTACCAGAACCTAGGCTGCTGAGGTTTATCAGAGCCTAAGTAATGTGGGAGGCAGGAAAAGCCAACTCCAGTACACTCTAACCATCCTGTCCCACCTTGATGAGCTCAGGTGATTTCAGAACACAAAAGGCGCTGCCTGTGAAAGGAGTAACTGATATGGAGGTCTCATTAAAACTGAAAACTTCTGCTCTGCAAGAGACACTGTCAAGAGAAGAAGGTAAGCAAAAGACTAGGAGAAACTATTTTTGAAAATCACATCTGATAAAGGACTGTTATCCAAAATGAACAATGACTTTTAAATTTCAACAATATAAAACAACCTGGTTAATAAAAATTAAAAAATAAAAATAACCTGATTAAAAAAAAAAAATTAGGGGCTGGGGATATAGCTCAGTGGCAAAGAGCCTGCCTGGCAAGTGCAAGGTCGTGAGTTCGATTCCTGGTACCGGAGGAAAAACAAAACAAACAAACAAACAAAAATTAGCAAAAGCCAGGCATAGTAGTGCATCCCTATAATCCCAGCTCTTGGGAGGCTGAGGCAGGAAGATTGATGGGAGTTCAAGGCCAGCCTGGGCTACACAGCAAGATCCTGTCTCAGAAAAACAAAATTAAATTTTAAAAAGGTGACGTAAAATTTAGGAAGCAGTTCTGGAACTTCGTATTTAATATTTTATACCACAGTTATCCTGCTTATCTCATGGCTGGCCCATCTCAGGAAGTGAATCTCCCCTTTGTCTAGCATATTTACACTGTATATACTACTCGGCCTTTGTCATTTCATAGTTGTTTTGGTTATCAGATCAATGGTTATCACAGTACTTGGGTTCAAGTAACTCTAATGCTGCATCACTGCTAGCCACAGTTTCAGTTACCCACTGGAGATCCTGAAACCCACAGATGAGGGGGAATGGCTATGACTGGTGGTACATTTACACAATGGAATATTATTCAGTGCTAAAAGATGAATGAGCTGTCAAAGGCACGGAGGAAACTTACATGCATATTATTACATAAGAGAAACCAATCTGAGAAAGCTCTATACCGTAGACTCCAACTATATGCATGTTGGAAAAGGCAAAACTATGGAGACAGTAAAAAGAGCTGTGGTTACTGGGGCAAGGATGGAGGAGGGATCAAAAAGGACAAAAATTAATACCACAGCAAGACACTACCTCATTCCAAAAAGACAACAATAAACGCTGGAAATGTAAATTGGTACAGCCACTGTACAAAACAGTATGGAAGTTCCTTAACAAACTAAAAAGAGAGCGACCATACACCCCAGAAAGCCCACTCTGGATATACATGCACCCGAAGGAAATGCGGTGAGAGTGTTGAAAAGGCAGCTGTATTCCCATGCGTATTGAGCACTGTTTACAGCAGCCAGGATATGGAATCAACCTAAATGTCCACAGAGTGAGCGCAAGGCCAGCCTGAACAATAGAGCAAGACCCTGCCTCAGAAAAACAAAAATAAAACAAAACTCAGGGTTTCTGAAATTTCATATTTAATATTCTCAGACCACAGTTGACTTTAGCCCTTAAATAACTGCAAACTCAGGACCTGCCTCAGAGTCAGAAAAACAAAGAGAACTCCAAGGATAGCTTTTTCTCCTTTCTTTCTCAAGACATTTTGCTCTTCTAAAGAGGTAAGATGAACAACAGAATGTTGGAAAGTAGGGGTGGAGTGGATCTTCGTATAACTCGAAAGAATACATTTTACTGGGTAGAAAAATGGTAAAACCAATGTCTCCCTTGGGTCATTCACAGCAGTGTAGAGTCTGCTGATTTCCCCCAGGAAGCAGCCAGGCAAAGGGAGGAGAAGAAAGGAGTCTGCCTCGGAAGAGCTGTGGATGCGTTTTCATTACTACCTAAGCACACTCCATGCTTCCTTTATATATGCAGGCTTGATTGAAAATAGGGGGTTTAACCAAAAGTTAGAATACAGGAACAAGACAATTACAAATTAGCTGGCTGACAAGCCGAAGCAGATACCAGCCACAGGAGGAGGCTTATGAACAGTATTTTTTTTGGTAGCAAGCGAAGATTAAAATGCAAACACAGGTAACCTGCCCAAAATGAAGGGCCTTTCAGACTAACTGTTGGCTTATTCTTGTACAAATATAATCACAGTTCTTACTTTGCATCCCAAACTTTTCTTTTGGGAAAACATAGAATAAAGCATAAGCCAGCCTCAGGGCTACTGACACACATGGAGGCGCGTATCACAAAGCAAGCACTTTATTCTAAATTATTCATACCCAGAACGCTGGGAAACAAAGACACAGTGGATCTTTGTTCACTCGTTCTTCCCCAACAAAACTGGTGCTGAAGCAGCTACTTGACTTTGCAACTAATACACACACTAGTGAGAGGCCTAGTGTTTAAGCCACTTACATAATACCTCATTACAACACTTATTTTTAAAGTAGAAGGGTAAGGGTGGAAGAGAATAGAGAACCAGAGGGAAGACTCTGCAACCTTTCTGTAAGCCTCAGTGTGAAGGATGAAGGGCCTGCTTCCTATAAATGCACAGCTTCAGGCAAGGGAGTGCCTGCTAGGAGCATCAGGTTATTTGCCGTAGACAGAAAGGAGGAAGTAACTCTAGAGATGAGCTCTCCTTTGCTTTGGATCTGACAGGTCCTTTGCCCCTTAGGATAATCTGTTGCCTCATGGTATTTTTAAACATTCACTAAGTGTGACTACATGACAACACTGCTAAACACTTTTACATCATGATTTCATTTATTCCTCACAATGACCTTGAGAGGCAGCAATCTATTTTTGTCTTTTGCAGATTTTTAAAAGTATTTACAAAGTACTAATACACAGCAGAAACTGTCATAGACATTTCCATTATAATTATTATTTAATTTATACTTCCCTATAATCCTGAGAGGTAGAAATCTTTTTCTTTTTCAGTGTTGGGGATGGGATTAAACCCTGGGCCTTCTATCGCGTGTGCTGGGCAAGCGCTCTACCACTGAGCCACACCCTCTGCCCTCAACCTATTTTTATAGATAAGAAACTGAGTCCAAGAGAACGGTTATGTAACTTGGCCAGCTACAAGGCTGAACAGTAAACATGTATGTATTTAAATCTTCCATGTCAGATGCACCTGATAGGAGGAAACCAACAGAGGAACGAGGTGTTAACAGGGAAGCCAAGAACACTCGAATACCTCCAGGGGCGTCTCGGTTCCTCCTCCCACCAAGCCACCTCCACCTGATAGCAGCAATGGATTTTCTTTGATTTAAATATATCGTTTCTCATGTAACCAGGGAGGAGGCTTGTAGTAATCAACACATGTGAAAACTTATTGGAACACATCCGATCTGAAAACTGCTACTTTGCCATCCCCACCCATCCTGGTACAAATTTACTAAGGCATTTCACTGTGGCTTTAAATATTACAACTTAAATGTGTAGTAAAAGGCCATCTCATTCTGAGGTGGTAGAGGTTTTTCTATCAGTGAAAGAAAGGACAGCTAGGACACATACTAGCTGGCTTCTTAATTACTGCTGTAACTAAATTCCCTATTTTGGCAAGGAACTAGAAGAAGCGGGTGGGGCTATAAATGCAAAAAGAAAGCTGCTTCCCGCGACAGAGACAGCGAGGGAAAGTAGAAGTTAGAAGGGTAAGGGTAAGGGTAAGGCTCCCAAGTTAGAGCCTTCTGTAGAAGCTAAGGACTTTACACACTAATCTCCCATTCTCTGACTCTAACATGTCTCAAATGGCCGGAGGAAAGGGACCTGCGTGGTCACAAGTGTAAGGGAACCCTCACAGAGTTTCCATAATTAAGTGCGAATTTTCAAGATTTAAACGTACATACCACTGGTCATGTGAGACACTTTTGCAAGTTTCTTCATCACATTGTCCAGGCGAGACTGAGTGCTCTCCAACTCATGAGAGAAATCATCCAACATGCTAGAGGGAAACAGACACAGAAGGCAGGCGGTAAGCACAAACCCTTGGCAAGGTACTGGCCATGGAATTCACTCAGTGTCTAGGCTTCCATCTTAGCACACCTAGAACAGCTAGGGATTCGGGACCCCAATTTATTATTCAAAATCCTAGGGAGAAGACATGCTTTTGAATTTGGAGTTTGAGGGATTTCTAACAAGATAAGCTACATACACTGTGTATTTGTCAATATCTCCAGCAGGGCCTGGGGCATCCCTTAACCAAACGTATTTCTGCAGAGAAAACTGTAATGAATGATAGTTAATCAGCGCAGGTGAGGCTTTCCTATAACGTGAGCTTGCTGTAATTAAAAAAAAAATTGTATCTTGAAGTTTTAGAGTTTCCTAGATTTTTTTTCTGTTCTTTCTTTTTTAAAGTACTGAGAATTGAGTCCAGGTCTTCACACCAAACCATATCCCCTACCTCTTTTTTGTTTGGAGACAAGGCCGCACTAAATTGCCCAGGCTGGCTTGAACTTGCAGTCCTCTGGCATCAGCCTCCTGGGGTGCTGCGATTACAGGCGTGTGCCACCATGTCCAGCTGAGCTTCTAGATGTCAGAACTACAGGGCAGGCAGCAAGGACGTGCCTATACAATACTATAAACTCAGTGGCAGCGCAGTGTGGCGGAAAGCAAGCTCTGAGAAGTCAGCCAGCCAGGCTTTGCCCCTAGCCACCTCACTGCACCACAGACAAGGCCCCCTACCACTCGATGTTTCCTCACTGTAAAGTGGGGTGATCCCACCAGCCCAACTTCCCTTCCAGGGTGCTTGTGAAGACCATGAAACATCGAAAAGCACTTCGTATCAATGTGAGTTAAGGAATGTAATTTAATCTGCTCTGTTCTCTTTCAAAGCACTCTGTGCTTTGTCATAATGAGAAAGCCTCAGGACTGAGGCCCCCGGTAGTGTGTGTGCACCTCGTCTGCTCAGAGAGGAGCACTGTTTCCTCCAGAACTGTCCCCAGGAGACTTCTACCATTCACTGTGCAATATACAGTGGGGGAAAAACCCACCAAAACACTGTACTCTTATTCCAGCAGTCTTTATTTCATAAATTACTACACATTCCAGATTTCTCAACTTTTGATTAGTACGTGATTACTTCGAGGCTAGAATTAACACACCAATTAGTACTAGGGCTCTTACTACAAAGGCCTTATTAACTCTGACAGTGTCACTGGCAGCTAGAAACTATTGGTCTTGGTGTGTGGCCACAAAAGACACATGAGTCCTGTAGGACTTGGGGTGACCAGCTCCTCATTAAGTCAACTATTAAATAAACTCACATTGACAACTAAATAAGTAAGTCTTTGTTCCTTACCTGAGTTTGCAAATTAAAACATTTTCAGTGCATCTTAGATCCTGGCAGCGTTCTGGCCCTGCAGCTGGCAGGCCTCTCCAGGCAGGGCCAAACACTGACAAACAAGAGCTACCTTTGTCTGCTGGGTATGGCTTTTCTTACTGCAGACAAAACAGGCACATCATTCAACCTTCAGCCAAGGAGACCCACTAACCACGCTTCTAGTCCCATTCTAACCCAATGCCACCCGACACCAACACAGTGCAAGCTGCACCTGCCATTTTATATCTTCCAGTGGCCATTTTTTTTAAAAAATAAAAACAGGTGAAATTAATTTTAATAATCTATTTAGTCTAATATATCCAAAATATTACCATTTCAACATGTAATATAAAGGTACCAATAAGCTACCTTCCACTTTCTCTTCACAGTCTAGTACGCACTTTACTCTCAAGGCTCGACTCTGAGCTCAGACTGGCCTCGGTCCACCTGCTCCCCAGCTGCACATGGCACATGCTCTCATGCCGGGCAGCACGGGGCTGGGTCCCACACCCATGCTTTTCCCTTTTAATTTGTGTTTTATCAGAGTTATATGCACACCCAGTTTAAGGAGACAAATAACTGTACAGGCTTTTTTTCTTTTTTTGGTACCAGGAATCGAACTCATGACCTCATGCTTGCCAGGCAGGCACTGTGGGGCTGAGCTACATATCCCTGGCCCCTATACAGGCTTTTTATGAAAACTCTGTTTTATGAACACTCAATTGTTTTAACTTTACTGATTCAGCACTATATTAGCCGTCTCCCCCATTTGATTCCCACCTCCTGATAGCTATGTGACGGTGTGATTAGATCAATAGTCAACATTTACATTAAACTACTGAATAAGTGCTATTCACACGTGAGTGGGGTTGTCATGTGAATTACGCTGCTTCCCGGCGGAAGGCATTGCTGGCTGGGGATTCAGCTTTCTCTGGCCTGTTGAGCTCATATCCAGTCGTCTACCTGCTTTCTAAAGCTAAAATGTTATGACAGTTGTTTCTTCTTCCATGCTGTGTGACCCCATAGGTTTTACGCCTTTAAAAAATTCCTTTGTCACTGTTTTAGTGGCTGTCAGAGGAGACGGAGATAAGGCATGTGGAGACAGTGTGTTCAACTGTCCCCCTATAACTGGACGCCTGAGAGGCTTTCTCTATTAGCAGGCTGCCACACAGCAGAGTAGCTCAAGCCATTAGTTCCCTCCCATTTCAACCAGAATTTTAGGATCAGAAGCCATTTTAGATAAAAATGAAACCTTTGTGTCTCGTTCCTGCTGCTCCAGCATCCTGCACCTGCTCTCCCTGCCGGCTCCACTCTGGCACATGTGTACATCACAGACAGATGGGGCTTTCCAAACACTAAGCATGCCCTCGCCCCCAGCACTGTCTCCCTGGTCCCCCATCACGCTTAGAAGGAAAGTCTTGCCTCCCCTATGTGCTGACCTCCTCCCTATCTGGACTTCTGCTACGCCCCTCTCAATCCCCATCCTAAAGACACATAAAATCTCTCTGCTCCGTTCACTTTTGCACCAGATCTTCACAGGTGCTCTTTCTTCCTCCTGGAACATGCCCTCCTCAGCTTCCCACACTCACTTGGCACCTCACTTGGCTGCCTTTATACATCCTGAAAATTTCAGCTAAACCCCTTCTTAGGGATTACGCTAAGTGAAGGCCCTCCTGCTTTAATGTCATCAATTAACAACCTGTCTTCATTTATACAGTGTCCATTTGACCATATTTTTCCATGGCAGAGAGCATCTATCCTGTTCACTCCTATATCCTCAGGGTCTCCTTGAGGACCTAGTGTAGAACAGGAGCCCAGTAAGAATCTGGAATGAATGAACATACAGCAAGGAACATAAGACTGCAATAGGAGAGTTTCTAAAATATCCTAGGGGACTGTCTTTATTCTGGAAAATAATTTGTAAAATAGTAAAGATATTGTGTGGCGGCATTTAAGAATGTTGCTTCTGCTATCAGACGTGTGCGTGTGTGTCTTTTTGAGACAGAGTCTCACTATGCAGCTCAGGCTAGTCTTGAACTCCTTTGTAGCCCAGGCTGGCCTTGAACTCACAACGATCCTCCTGCCTCAGCCTCCCAAGTGCTGGGATTACAGGCACATGCCACCAAGACCAGCTCTTTAGAATGCAAAAGAGATTATTCTTTTTTGCAGGGAAGTACTGGGAATTAAACTCAAGACCTTGCGCTTGTTAGGCAGGCACTGCACTGTTGAGCTATATCACCAGCCCAAAAAGAGATTATTCTTAAAGAACTTACAAAGTTGTATTTCCTTATTTTTTTAGAAGAAAGGTTTTTTTTTTTTGTTAACTGCAGTTAAAGTTATAAGTTTTCTCATACAATAGTAAGTTAAGATGAGAAGAAAGTCCTGTTCAACGTACCAGGAGTCCTGAAGGCAGCTCCCAACACTACCTGTGTGGGGCTCCTTCATCTACTTCATCCTCTTCAGAACACATAGGGGTTTCAGTCACACCTGTTTTACATTCTGATTCATAACTATGCTTCAAGTATCTGTCCAGAGCAATCTGTTTTTTGAGGGGTTTAAAAGCAATAACCCCCACCTAAGCCCTGTCATAATTTTACCCGATGGGTTGCTTCTTCTGGAGGCTAGTCTGTGCAGCTGAATAAAAATGCAGCTACAAATAAAACAGCTTTTAGTTTTACCGCCATGTAACTTCCAGGGCTTTTAGGGATGGCTTTTCCCTCCATTTCACTGCAGCCAAAGGGGCTCAATACTTACACTGCCTGTTCCTCCAGCTCCCCTCCGATGCGCTGGGACATGTTCTTCAGCACCCCGATGCTGCCAGAGACCAGCTCCAACTGCTCATCCTGCTGTTCCACAATCAACTGGTGCCAGAGAAATGGGAAATAAGCAATTAAAATCCATCTTACCTGGTTCCAAGCCCAGCACTCTAGCAGCTGCTAGTTTTCTTGCCAGCTTGGGACAATTCACATTCAGAAGCACAGCCCAGAAATCAAAGGACCAGACCGTTGCCTCTGAGTACACGCTGCTCAAAAGGCTGGATTGTCAAACGACTGATATCTCCTGCTGATCCAACTTGTGAACAGTCAGCGGGGCTTGAAACCACCAAGAGAGATTTACTCTGGCTGGCTGAGGGCCAACAAGGGAACAGACAATGACAAAAGCACACAGGCAGATGACCACTGAATCACGGGCTATCTGGGAGGAAGCCCACTGCTAAGATCAAGGTCTCAATCCACAACACACTGCTGCAGCTTAAATGTGAAAGACCCTGGCAAATCTCTGCATGTGGAAAAACTATGCACACTGAGTCTTTTTCTTCCTCCTCAAGGACAATCAAGAGAAGGTCCTGTGGTAATAAGTTACCTCAAGGACAACTACTGCCCAGCAAAGAACTATTTACTTTTAATTGTGCTCCATCTCACTCATTGTCCACAACAAAGTTGGTTTGGTTAACAGCAATGTGAGTAAACAACTGGTTATAAGCCGACATGCTAATGGAGTAGAGCATGTAACTTTCACAAGTGCTTATAAAACAGTGTGAGAACAGCTCCAGCAGGTAGAGGACTCTTAAATCCGCCCATACATTATCATTAGCTTCCTTTTGTTAGTACGGCTACATAGCACAAGCAACAACACAGACATAATCAACTTTACTTTCTTTACTTTACTTCTCCACCTCCATCAAAACAACTGTTTCTAAATGTAGGAAAAAGATTAACGACTTGCAGTGAAAAAAAGGACTCTACCTTTCTCAAAGTTTGTTGAACAAAAAACCCAAGATACAAATAAAAAGCTAGGACAGAGGTTTTGTTTTCTTTTCAAAAATCCTAGGCCTGCTGGGTGTGGTGGTGCATGCCTGTGAGCCTAGCACTTGGGAGGCTGAGGCAGGAGGATTCAAGGTCAGCCTGGACTATGCAGTGCGAAGTGAGTTCAAGGCCAGCATGAACTACAAAGCAAGATCCTGTCTCAAAAAAAAAAAAAAAAAAAAAAAATCCTAGGCTTTGTCTGGCAGTTTGGATGTCAGCTCTGTTGATTTTCCTGAGACCCGGTTAGCATGGTTGTTTCCAACATTCTGCTCTAAAGATTTTTTTGTTCGGTTGGGCTTTTATGTTTTTGGTGCTTTTTGTGGTGCTGGTCATCAAACCCAGGATATCTCACACATGCTGGGCAAGTGCTCTACCTCTGAGCTACACCCTTAGTCCTCTTTCTAAAATTTTGAGACAGGGTCACACTAAGTTGTCCAAGCTGAGCTTGAACTCAGTATCCTTATGTCACAGCCTCCCAAGTGGCTAGGATTACAGGTGTGTACATCATGCTCAGCTGTATTCTCAGGCCTTTAAAACCATATACATACATACACATACAATCATTACCTATTTGACACAGTCAACCACAAGCCAAGCTCCAGTTGAACCTGTCTCCTATTAGGCAACAAACCCTCTGGCTGGCAGAAAATCCAGGGGCGAGGCCCACTTCCGCCTCCCATCCCTGGCTGGCTGTAGTCGGGGTACCTGCTGCTGTGCCTGCTGCTCCTCGATGAAGTGGGAATTGGCTAACTGCAGCTCTCGATCAAGGCGTCCGTACTGATCCGTTGTTCCAGTGCTCCAGTTCTGGCTGCCGCTGTCACCCAGCAGTGCCTATGTGGGTGAAGATGACAAGAGTCAGGAGAAACAAGCAGGTACTGTCTCTGAATAAGTGACATAGCGAGGTGACAGGAAGAGGCCAGGCTTTCACTGGTAGCACAACACAAGGAATTCCAGGATGGGCCCTCTCTGTCTTCACCCTAGCCGGGCGTAGTGGTGCACACCTGCAATCCCAGAACTTGGAAGGCTGAGGCAGGAGGATCGTTTCAAGTTCGAGACCAGACTGGGCTACAAAGTGAGCTCAAGGCCAGCCTGAACTGCATGGTGAGACCCTGTCTCAAAAAGACAAAAAAAAAAAACCATTCTGTCTTTACCCTCCCATGAGCCTCACACACAGGCTTTGTCCCCTGAAAATGAAATAAATGTCTATGTTAAATCAATACACACCCATCTTTGTAAGGCATCACAATGCTTGGAACAGTACTTCCTAGGAAACAGGACCCAAAGCTCTAGATAAACTGGTTCTACAGATCTGGAATCTATGATTGAAGGACAATCCAGGGAAGTTTCAGTTTTTTGGGGGCACTGGGGTGACCTCCCCAGAATGACCAGGTGTGCCTCACACACAGAAGGCACAGCACCATCCATGTTTGTTAGATTTAACTTCTATAAAAAATCCCACGTCCTCCAGCAGAATGTAAACTACTGGCTTCCCAGAGAATACTCGGAGGTTGCTTCCCAGGAAGATATGGCCACAGGAGCACCCGGCCCTGACAATCTAGGCATGTGCTGGCCCTGAAAGCAGTCTCCACCAGGGCTCCTGGAGGCCAGGTCAGGTGTGCCAAGCATGAGTTTAAAGAAGTGTGAAATCAGAAGTCACATTTGAGAATGTCTTCCTTACACAAGAGGCAAGGCAGGAACCTGAGTGTTCAGCGGTGGCAGCTGGTCTGGACCAGGTCCCCACCTTCATGACAGGTTGAACAGCTGCTCAGGCCAGCCTTACATTAGGACTCAAGACGCTGCAACTAAGATTCTTGTTCCTTGTGAAGTTGGCAAATCCTCACATAAGGTCTTAAAAAAAAAAATCTGACATTATTAAAAGCCTGACCATTTATTTGGTTCTCTGTCTGAACACTCCAACAGCCTCTCAGCCCTCCTCCATACCCACACTGCCTCCTCATAACTTTCAGAGGTAGATTCTAAATGCCAGGCTTCAGGGGACGGGTGGGGGAAGCGCAGGATGCAGAGCATCGAGTCTGAGGTAGTTATCGGAAGAGCTCCTAAGACACTCAGTTATCAGAAGCTCTTCTCAGGACACCTTTGAGGGGCCCAGGACATCAGTCAAGAAGCTGGATGTGACTGTCTCTGTGGTAAAGCAGACCCAAGTCCTTCTATGGTGGTTCTGCCCTGACCTGGTCTTATGGTTATCAATTTGAAAAGACCCTGTCCATTCTGATCCAAAACTCTAGGAACCCCCAGAGAGGATACTGGGGCCTCGTGACAATTTTTTTCAGGGTAAAAAAGTGTACTGTGTACCATTAGGCTATGGACAGAGAGCTGGGGCTCCATCAGGACCCTGTGTGCTCCTGGGGCCACAGTCAAGGCTACTTTTTCTACAACATCCATGAATTTTATTATGAAGTATATTAGAGTTCACCAGTCTTACCCTCAGGAATATGTTCTAGTGGGAAAAAAGATGGAGGGCTCCAAACACTGGAAGTTGACCCAGTGTTTGGGAGGGAGGACCACAGGAAGTGCTGGCGAAGCAGGAGCACAGCACTAGGCACCTGGCACTAAGGCTGACTCTGCCCACTTGAGCATCTGGAGAAGCTGACTGAGCCTATTCTTTGAACATTTGAGCTCTATGACATTTCACTCACGGCCTTAAACAAGACTTCAACCCATACTTGGAAAGGCAATGCACATACTCACTTTACTCATGTTACCTCAACTACACTACCTAGAGAATAAAACACTCACATTAGGAGTAACAGAGGACAGGCATTATCCTCCACACTGTCACAGCTACTTCAGGTATGCACTGTCCCTTAAGCTCATGCATGCTCAAGGGCAAAACTAGTCAGCTATGGCCATTCACTAACTTCTTTTAAGAGTTGGACCCAGATGAAACGACCTAACTGTAGTGTTTAAAAAAAACAGCAAGATAGTTAGATAAGAACAAAACAGAACACTTTAAAAATGAAATACAGGAAAAGTTGGGTGACATTTGTGGGACTGTTTTCAATACTTATTTTCAAAATTAAGTAGTTCAGTAAACATCCACAGGGTAAAGATTTATGCTATGAACTATCGAGTTGAAATTAGTAAAAAATAATTAAAGTATTTCTCAAGTTAAGAGGCTACTAAATGGATTACTGGAATCTTTCTGGAACCTGAACAGTATGAAGTTAGGGTAAGTGATTTAAAGCCAATAGCATCAGAGCTATTGACAGTAATGTTCATGCAGGCTGACCAGGCACCACGGTTTGGTGTCTCCCAAGAATCCCTCAAGGCTTGGTAACCAGTCCTTGGCCAACTGGAAGGTAGTAGAATCCATCCATCTAACTATCCGTTTATCTATCTAACTAACTACAGTGGTATTTGGGATTGAACTCAGGGCCTCTGAACTGAGCTACATCCCCAGTCCTTTCTGTGTTTTGACACAGGGCTGTGCTAAGTCACTAAACTGTCCAGGCCGGGCTCAAACTTGCAATCATCCTGCCTCAGCCTCCCAGAGTGCTGGGATTATAGATGTGTGCCACCATGTCCAGCCTGGTAGAACCTTTAAGAGGTAGAGCCTAGTGTAGTTGTGAGGAACCCTACAGAGCCCTCTCTGTTGGCACATGAGCCAAGTGGCTCCAGACAAGGGTGGACAAGTTATCAGCATGCATACAATAGCAGACATCACATTAAGTGTGCAAAACATGCCAGATGCAAACTTTTACCTTTCAATAAAAAGCTGTGTCTATCATTGAAAGCTCTGTTATTGTGTTTTTCTTTTAAAACAAAAGATATTAAGTATGAGTTGTTTTTTCTAAACTAAAACTTCAGTATCAGGGTTAATTTCAGTGTTGGCACTTTGTGATAAGTAAGTGGGTTTTGGGCTGCAGTTTGGGCACTCAGTTCGCCATCACTGGCCTCATGGGAGGTTTTCTGGTCATTTGGGACATGCCTCTAAGGGGACACTGGAACCCCAACCCCTTCCTATTCTACATCCACAGCCATGAGGTAAATGGTCTTTCTACATGCTGCTGCCACGGTGTCCTGTCACAGACTCAAATGCAATGGGGACAATCAATCATAGAGTGCAACCTCTAAAACTGTAAACCAAAATAAACCTTTTCTCTTTATCTGCTAATTGTCTCATGTATTTGTTACAGTAATGAAACACAGACTCACACACTAGACTTTCAAAAATTGGCCAGTGTCACTCCAAGTTCAGCATGCATAGGTCTTGTTCTTCATCATAGGATACCTGATTGACCAGCATTTTAAATATCTAAGCATGTATTTCCTTCGGTTGATACTTGTACTATGACATTTTCTCACCTGTCTGTTTTTCCTTTCAGCTAATGCCTGCACAGATGAAGTCGACATCTGATCCTTCATGTCCTAATGAAACATACAAAAAAACAGAAAACAAATGAAAGACATCTTTAAAGAAAATCATGGTTAATATTTCAAACTTAGCAAAATTGATATGTTATTATTTTTCAATGAAAAGACATTAGTTGGCTTTTATTTCAATCTTAAAAATAAAGGAAATATAGATAAAGGCCTTTCCTGAAAAACAGGTAACCTAAATTTAAATGGGAAGAAAGAAGACAAGAACTTTGAAAAGCCCTAGGTCCAGAAAAACCCTAACTTTCTCAAAGTCACACAGCCAGTAAATGGCATCCTTGCAGTAGAAATGTGAAAGCCCGTGCTCATGGGCTGGCATGCTTTTACAAACACACATAAAAAAACCATGTACTTTAGGGTATTCCCTTATTTTATTTCAGAGTTGCATTCAAGTGACTCAGAGACTATTTAATACCAGAGTGAATTTCCAGGGTGCTTATCAAACACAATTTTGTAAAGGAAAGAGAAATGCATGGATCTATTAACTTAATCTCAAGCAAAATTACAGAATCGAGCCATTTTGCCTATCCCACTTAACTACAATCCAACACATTGTAAAATGATGTAAAATAAGTACGTGATGACTGAAATACAATTCTTTTTTCTTGGGGGGAAAAAAAGGCTGTCAAGATACTTTATAATTTTTACTGGCATGTAGACTTTTTATTGATGCAAATGTTAAGGTATTTGATTTTTAGAAACTTACTCCATGACCCATTACAAGGGAACAGTAGATCAGACAATGCCCCAGCTTTTAGAATTCCTACTGTGGTCTAAATAATAACCACCTTCTTTCAACTTCCAAGGTACTCATTCATTCAGCAAGTACTGATGTCTAACATATGCAAGGCATGGAGCAGTAAATAATACAAATTAGGATCCTGTTCTCCTACAGTTCACATGGTGACTAACATGAGAAAGACACCCAAGGTATTGTTAAAAATGCAGATTTTTGGGCCCCATGCAGACCTACTAAGTCAGACTCCTTATGGAGCACTTTAACAAGTCTCTCTGGTGAGTCTTAAAGACTGCAAGTTGAGAACCTCAGGTCTATACAAACTGTAAAAGGTTCAAAGTAACACGATGGTTATGTCAGTACCTCCTGGTCTGCAGGATTCCCTTTTCAGCAAATTAGAGTTTAAGATAACTCTTATATTCAACTAAACAATCCCATTTATTTAACATACATTAATACAGTAACTGCAGAAAGCAATACTTGAAGTGTTCACTAGGGGAAGAATATATGCTTTTAAAAATGTATAGTACTCTGTTCATTTTGTAATAGTGTTTCTTTAAAAAAAAAGTTACTTGCATGATAAAATCATCAATACATATATGGAAAAGTGACAGTTTTCATATATCATATATGGAATATGATTCTGCTTGTCAGAAGTTATAATGGCGAGGGTAAAGGCAATGACTGTAATGGAGCACAAAGAAGCTGCTAAGGGGTGTGGGTAATGTGAAATGCTTCTGGGTGCTCCTTAGATGGGTGTGTCTAGTTCATTAATGCACCAAACTGTGTAATCCAGATATGTGAACTTTTCTGTATTGTTATACTTCAAATAAAAAAGAAAATACTACCATTCCCTAACCATGAATGGATGGTAAAATGGACCAACTCTTTCTCTTTTTTTGTCTTTTTTGAGACAGGGATTCACTATGTAGTTCAGGCTGGCCTCAAACTCACAGCAATCCTCCTGCCTCAGTCTCCTGAGTGCTGGGATTACAGGCGTGCACCATCATGCCTGGCATCTGGACCAACTCTTTGAAAATAAATTTTGTTATTTTGTATTGAGAGTCTCAAGAATATATACTGCCTTAATTCATTAGTTCTATGAATAGCACTTTAAGGAAATGTGTAAAAATGTACACTATAGTGTTATTTGCAACTGACAATAAATCCACATAATGTAGTATTATGTGCTAGACACTACCCTTAGGAAGACAATTCTGAAAATACAGAATACAGTATACAAATGATCACATACAAAGAAACACTAACCCATAAGTGCAACTATGGGATGTTTTCCCCAATTAGACTAAGAAAGATGAAAAAGACTGATAATATTTAGTGTTGGTTATTAAGAAATACAGAATCTAATACTCTGCTGTTAGAAATAAAATCTTAGGTTGCGAATGTAGATTAGCAGTAGAGCACTTGCCTAAATGTGCAGGGCCCTGGGTTCAACTGAAAAAAAAGGAAGAAGAAAAAAGTAAAAGAAAAATCAAGTCTTTTTGTAGATACAGTATTTTGGAAATATTTAGTAACGCTTAACGTGTATTCTCAATGAATTCTTTACTATGTAAATATCGAGGTTATGTTTATATAGTTACTGACATATGAACTGCAATTGCTAAAAATTAACACTAATTAAAATATGTACTGGTAGGTCAGTCATTAAATAAATGAATGGAGTCACATTAGAGAAGAGGTTAAGAGCACGATCTTTTGTGTCAAAGAGCTGGTCCAAGACTCAATAATAATAATAAAAAAAAAAGACTCAGTAATAGGTCAGGCATGATGGCATACGTCTGTAATTCCAGGACTCTGGAAGGCTGCGGCACAAGGATCACCAGTTTGAGCCCAGACCGGGCAACATGTTGACTTAGCAAGACCCTGACTTAGAATAAAAAATAAAAAGCGTAGGAATAAAGGGATATAACTCAATGCAAAACCACCAATAGTGAAAAAAAGATTTTAGTAACACTTTGTAATAATTGTGCTGTTAGAACAAATTTTCTAATTTCTGTATTTCTCTGTTCAGTATTTTGGATAATAGTATCTTACAGGGTCAGTGATGGGATTAAAAAAGATAGTATATGAACCATGATTAAGAGTGGCCCTCATCCCTGACTGTGATTTCCCCTACACCAACCCGTCTCAGCTCAAAGCAGCTAGGGGGAAACTACACCCTTTCTCCTCTAACCGCAGTTAGGGATACCTCTTCAGCGGGGGGAAATACAGACAGCTAAATTAGGTGGAAATATAGTCTGACAGAGCTGGGCCCTCGGGGGAGTCAGAGCAAAAGATGAGAACACATCAAAACTGTGGCTGGAGGCCCATCTGAAGATTAAAGTCCCAATAGTTAGATTTACATACTCCCCTTATTGGTATCTCCCTTTTGAGATTTCCCATTATCTCATTAGGGGTGGCTCATTCTCTCCCACCCACTAAGACTAAGACTAAAAATAAAACTAAGACTATATATTATTGACCAAGGTGAATGATGTCACCCAAATGCCCCTGCTACCACTGGATCAGTATTACCTAAGCAAGTGGATCAATATTACCCAAGCGACTAAACTTGCAACCTTATTGATCACAATTTGACCCATGTTGTACCCTCCTCGTGCTCTTGCTGTAGAAAACTTCCTTGGAGAAGTAGCTCATTGGCAACTCATTTGGGAACCCTCCTGTCTTTTGGGAGCTGCTCCTATTCCCTATTCCTTTTCCCCAATAAATTTTCCTACTCTAAAAAGAAAGAGTGGCTCACAATATAATAAAGACTTAAGTAAGCGTACTATCATCACATAAAAGTGTGCAACCATGGAAAAAGATCACTGAGGTCCGCTGCGGCTCCATACAGTAGCTAGGGGCCAACTGCAGTGGGGCAGCACTGGAAATGGGGTCAGTGTAATTGAGGAATTCAATTAACTGAAACTCAAATTGAGTTTGTGAATCTACTTTTTCAAGTGTAAGTTTCATAAACTCTAAGTACAAATGAAGTGCTTCCAATGAAAGCTTCACATCTGAATTGAAATGTGCTTAAGTGCAAAACGCATGCCAGATTTAGCAGTATAAAAAAGTAAAACAAAAAAACAAAACTTATCATTAATATTCCTTAGATTGATTACTGTTTAAATGATAATCTTTTCAATATATTAGGACAAGTAAATTATGTTCACTTGTTCCTTTTGACTTTTTAATGTGACTACTAGAAATAAAATGCTTATGGACTGATAATAGTACAATCACAACTATGCAAATCATAACCATAGAGGAAAATGACTAAAAGAAAACATAAAAGTATTGTTTGTTTTATTCTGAATGTTTCTTTTTCTATTTTGATCTCTTGTAAAATTCTTGTAATTTTCTTTAATGAACATATATTGCTTTATACATATTTTAGTATGTAAATACAATATGTATATATAAATACATACTTTTTTACAATTCTAGGGTTTTTTTTTTGGCCTTTTGATACAGGATTTCACTATGTAGTTCAGACTAGCCTTGAACTCACTTTGTAGCCCAGGCTGGCCTCAAACTCACAGCAATCCTCCTGCCTCAGACGAGTCTTGGGATTATAGGCGTGTGCCACCACACCTGATTAAAATGTTGTTTTTTTATTTTTGTTTTTGTTTTGGTATGAAGAATTGAACCCAGGACCGTGCACTTACCAGGCAGGCACTGTGCCACTGAGCTATAATCCTGGACCTAAAATTCTAGTTTTTAAAGTTTTCTGTTTAGTAAAAGTAGCAGAAATATTTTCTGTTTAATAAGGCAGTAAATTCCCTACGGCAGTAAATTCTGTACCTTGTGTGGAAGGCATCCAGTATATGGCTCCAAGTAAAGAGCTATGGCTTTCACTCCTAAAACGGCATTTTATGTATGTAGGTTAAAGTCATCAGATACCATAGAACACATCACCTTCATATTGGGAGATGAAATTTTAAGCTGTGTTACTAAACAGTTTTCAACATTTTGTAACAATCTATCATGCCAGAAACATAATTACTCATCTTCTTCCTAACACATGAAGTTTAGAATTAGCAGTCAAGAAGCAGTTAGTCCCAATAAAATATGGTTCATCTGCCAAAAAAACAACAAATGTCCTGGTTATTTATGTTCCTGTTTTCATTTCACGGTATCTTCCAAGCTGAAAGAAGGAGACATTATAAATCTCTGGGCTTCTTGCTTTCAGGTCTCACATCCCAACATCATCTCTGCGCACGCTGGATATCTTACCCTTTTCGATTAACCAAAGCCATTTCTATCATGATTCATAAATGACTATAAACAATTTTTTGGTTTCAACACGTTGGGTTTTTTCTTTTAAGAGGGGTGGATATTAACTCTGATTTGTTTTGTAAGTGAAGATAAAGTCAGAAAATGTTAGTAAGTATCATCTCACTGATAAAACTGTGATCCAGAAAGGCTGGCTGACTTGCCTTGATTAAAGTTTATTCCGGTTACAGCTTTGCCTAGAACTTTTGTTTCCTGACCCTTTATTCATTCTTTTCCCACGTACTATAGAATCTTTCAGTACTGCACCAAAGTCACTCCTGGAGACTATTTCCAAACCACAAAAATTTCAAAGTTGAAATCTCTTGATGTATGACTCCACAAATGTAAAAATGATTACCTCAAAACATATGAATGCTATTTACATAAAACTAGAATATTTTGCTTCCTTTATGAATTTCTTTTGTGGTGCTGGGATTGAACCCAGGGCAATATGCATGCTCAGGAAGTGTTCCACCACTGAGCTAGGTCCCCTGCCTGAACATTTTGTTTCCTTCAGTAACAACTATCATTAAAATTTAATAAAAACTACAAAGTTTAAGGGGTGCTCAGAAAAACACACACAATTGAGACTCTTTATACAAATCTGCTTAGCTAAATGCAGTAAGGCAACTCAATACAATGAGGTTTAAAAAAAAAAAAAAAAAATGCGGGGCTGGGGATTTAGCTCAGCGGCAAAAGCGCCTGCCTGGCAAGCGCAAGGTTGTGACTTCGGTTCCCGGTACCGGAGAAAAACCAAAAAAAAATAAAAAATAAATAAAAAAAATAAAAAAATAAAAAAATAAAAAAATAAAAAAGCATGTATTCCCAGTGCTTGGGAGGCTGAGGCCGGAGGTTCACTGGGAGTTTGAGGCTAGCCCAGAGTATACAGTGAGTTCAAGATAAGCCGAAACTACACAGTGAGACTTTATCTCAAAAAAACAAAAAACAGAAAAATAAATTTTTAGTCAAGCTAGTATCGTTGTTACTTCCTTTCTTCTACAGGACTTTAAATTACAATTTATTAAAATCAAATGAGCAAAGCTCAGCTAGGTACTATTACCCCATCACTGGAAAATACTAACAGCTTCCCCAAACAGGGTTGTAAATTAAAACAGAAATTATTAAAAATTCTAATCAGTTGGATCACATAGTTGAATATGGTCTAGATCTCAACTCTAGAAGGACAGCACCATTTTGAAGTAATTATTTAATTTGATTTGGACTACTGCTCAAGCTTTTAAATTACACTAAAAGAATTTTGGGTTCTACTTCCAATTATACCAACTAACCTAGCATTCAATATATTGACCACTGAGTTCCAATTTGTAAAATGCATTAAGTGCTACTTTGCAGAAAGAGCAAGTAAGTAAAATCAAGAATATATGTTTTACTGGAAGACACCGTTAAATATTAAGATCTACAGTAGTGTCCTTCACAAAACTCATTACAGAAAGGAAGGAAGGAAAGGAGGGAAAGGAGAAAGAAAACATGATACTTATTTTAAAAATTGGAGATTTGTTATACCAAGAAAAAAGTCACCTGAAAAACAACTCCTTATCAGAAGAGCATTTCAGACAGACTAGAAATTAGAAGCGTCTAACCCAAACCCTGGTGCCTGAAGTCTAGCAAAATTTTTGCCCCATTAAAATGTGGGCTTATTTATATAGAACAGAAACTACTGAATAAAACAAGAAACAGGAATATATAAAGTTCAGTAATAATACCATTTGAAATAATTTCAAGAGGAAATCACATGATACAAAGTCTTTGGCAAACACCTACCAAGGTTCCTGCCATATGTTAGCACTGGTCTGATCCCAAGTCTTTTTATTCAAGGAAGTTGCTTTCTAGTACATATGTTAAAGACAGCTGGTTCTCTTACATCTAGTTATGCTAATCAAATGGCTTAGCCATATAGTTTCAAATTACAAAACATATTTTAATGTTTACTTAATCTATATTTTCTCTTTAATAATGGCTATTATGCTAAATAATTTGGAACTAAAGATTTGTCCACCTGAATGGGTTTTTTAACACACTGATAGATGCTTCTTGCTCTGGATAATTCCCGAAAGGCTGTCAAGCAGTTGTACATGCAATGTCAACAACACAGGGTTGGAGAGTTCCAGAAGCAATTCAGATGGTGGAAGAGGCCGCCATCCAAGCCTAGAAAGTCACTCTTCAACAATGCAAGTGACTTACCAATCAATCAAGAAACTAAATGGTTTCTACAATAGTAATTCTTCTTTCTGTCCAGAAACAGAATGCAGTAAGAAATAAAAGAGAAAAAAGAGCACTGGTTTGGAGAAAGTGGAGGTACACACAAATAGGATGATACTATCAAAGTAACCTTCCTCAAACTATCAGACTGTTCTTATTTTTGCTCCAATGAGCCTGACAATATCCAAAACAGATTTCTTTTGTTTTTAAACACAGAAGTTATATTGTATGTGGGAAACAGGCATTTAATTCATTGTAGGAAGTGGTTTTAGAGTTGATCTATTAGTTTACAATTCAAAAAAAGAGTTCTATGAAGTCTGGCTATTTCTGACATAGATTACAGCACAAAATCATATTCCTTACCCTGACAACTTGCCGAGTACTTGTAATAAAGGCTTTTCTTATACTCAATTCAGTTGCATCAAGGTTGAATTTTCTAGGGTTTGCTTCAACTATGCGTGGAACAAGGAGTCAAGGTAAAGCAATTTCATCATCCAAAGCTTAACTGACCTTGTTAAAACCACAGAATCACTCACATGCAAGCAATAAAATCTGGCCACAACTTTCGGAAAACACAATCAACTTGACATGAAACATTCTCCAATTTTCTTTCCCAGAGCTACATGATTATCTCTTTGCCTCAACACGGAAATGAGAAACGGCCCCTACTGACTGAGCTCACTCACTGCATGGCAGGCTGATAACGGTTGAGCAGGGGTCTTAGTATTGCCAACACTTTTTTATCTATCCTTCTTTGACTTCTGTTCACTTCTCCCAGGACAGCTTTTGAAAGCCTTTTTCAACACCATACCAAACCAGTTCCTCTTACACCAAGAAATTAATCCTTTTTTTTTTTTTTTTTGAAGTACTAAGGATTGAACCCAGTTATGATTTAGTTACTGACCTACCAGCAAATATTTGGTTTATCCCTGTATCTGTTTCTGATCCTGTCCTCTTATATATTTTATTTTTGAAAACATATTTACCTTTTAATAATTTAAAAGGTACCCAGGGTCATTATAATAGAAACAACAGACTCTACTTATCAACTGCTAACAAGTGAGTGATCCTCACAAAAGCTGGTTTTCTGGATGTTTTATTTCCCTTAGGGAAAAAAAAATACAAACAACTCAGACATGCAAATGACATGTCTTCTACCTACAGCTTGGGTTAAATGGAATTTTCAGTTGGAAAAAAGGCTATATAATTCATCTTCAACAGTTTCCCAGTTCATTACTGAGATTAGTGGATTTATTTAACACTAAAACCATAATTAGCATAATAGATCTGTTTTTTCTAAGTGCAATTTCATGGGACAATGAAATTCTCCAATGGACAATGGCATTTTAACATCACTTTTTAAAAAGGAAGAGTTGACAAAAAGACTTTCTTTTGATTTCTAGTAATACATAACACTGGTCTGTATGAATGTAATAATGACTGCTAATACTTTTCCTCTTCTGCTGTGTTGGGGATGGAACCCAGGGCTTCCCACGTTAGACAAGTGCTTTACCACTGAGCTATAACTCTTACCTAGTTGATAATACTCTCATAAGAGCTTACTATGTGCCAAGTGCTAAGCTCATACACATGTAAGCCTCTCAACCAACAGTCCTATGAGCTAGGTACTCCCATTGGTCTAACTTTCTACTGAAGAGGAAACTGAAGCACATAGAAGTTTAGCAACATGCCCCAAAACCGTTAGTGATTGGTTATGATAGTGTAATATAAAACCCCAATTGGACAGGGCTCAAGAAGCTTCTAGGCAGCTCAACATGAGAAGTTCCTAGACAGCACTGCTTCTGAAGAGGGCATGGAAGCTCCATGCCCCTTCTCCCATACCTCACCACGTGCAGCTCTCCATCTGGTAGTTTATCTGTATACTCCATAATACCCTTTAAGTAATCCTCCAAACTTGCATTCTTCCTTTTAGTATAAGCAAGTAAATACAAGTATCTCCCTCAGTCCTATGAGCTACTCTAACACGTTAGTCAAAACCGAATAGAGGGACAGTCACAAGCACAGGTGAGAACCTGGAGGTTGCCACTGTCATCTGAACTGGGGACAGTCTTGTTGGAATTGAACTCTTAACCTGTGGGAGCTAATGCTATTTCCAGGCAGTTTCAGAATCGAATGGAATTGTATTGCACCCAGCTAGTGCCTGCTGCAGAACTGCTTTGTGTTTTGCCACATATGTGGTATCAAAAATATTTTATTGAGTGTGGAAATAAAAAGACTTTTTATCTTTGCATGGGCAGAGCCAGTGCTTGAACACCAGCAGTGTTCCAAGTAACAATCACTATGCTGCCTCTATATTGCAAGATTTGTCATATGCCATAGAAGAATTGGAGTACTTTACCTTAGCTTACCAGGGAATTTTTAAAAGATGTATCTTGGTACAAATAAGAGCAATATCAATTAATTATGAAATGAAATGTGTCACCTATGTACCTGAGACATCTAGATAAAAACTGTCCAATTGTCTATCTATCCCAACAGACACCACAGAAAAGGATATTGATAGTTTCATCAAGGTCCTCCAGATCCCACTCTATGCTGCGGAGGTTGTTTCTCAGCTCGTTGGTGGTCCAGTCGATTTCTTCCCTTGTTGCTGCAGGAGGGTCCTGGAGGAGCTCCGTCCATCTCTGAAACAGCCCCTGGGCGGTGTTGACTGCTTTCTGTACCTCTCTGTAACCAAGGTGGCAAGGGAAAAGGGGAAATCACACTCAACAAACTTCACGAACAAGTTACTGAATGACTTCACTACCATTAGGATTGTAAATTAACCTCAGCAGCCACAATTCCCTTAGAGGTTTGCTGTGATAATAATTTATATTCAGATGAAAAAGCTCCAGTATGGCTTGTCTTTTCTTGGGATAGGAACAGCAGCAGGAAGGTCATTCTTACAGAGCTTGTGTTTTTTAGGTTATATGTTCTAAGAAATTTAAAAACCCAAAATCTTATTAGAAAATTTCCAATGTTACTGGCTTTAAATATATCTACTTTCCTAGATTAAACAACTCTGTGTACTAGATTAGGGGTTTTCTTCTTTAGAATGTGAGAGTAGGCCAAGAAGTGGTATGATGTAGCCTCTTTCTTTCTTGTTCCCCCCGCCCCCCCC